GCGCCGTGCGGTCCAACAACATCTTTGAGCAAGCGTGGTCAGGTCCTGGGGTATTCAATGCTAGAAGGACCCCACAAAATAACATTAGCTCAAATATCAGAGAAAACAGGAGTCCTGAAAAGTACCTGTTCAAATATTATTTGAACAGCCAAACAGAGAGCCAGTGAAAATGGCATTTCTGACCTTTGCGCAACTGAGAATCTTGTTCCTTTACCCAATGCTGTAAAGGGTTCCAACCAGGCTCTGACTGACGCCTAAAAGAGTCACCTGGTAGAAACTGCTCTAAAAGATGCAGAATATTGTTGAATGACATTTTCTCAACTAGCAGAAGCTGGTAATCTCTTTTTTTATTTTATTTAATTACATCTCCTTTGCTAATAACTAAATGTATATAAAAGCAAATTTAAATGTTAGTCGACAAACCGTATCTCGTGTCCTTGCTGCGAACAAAATCTTTCGCCAAAAGCCAACTACCAAGCCTACCCTTAGTCCAGCCCAGAAGGCAGCATGCCTTACCTTCTGTAACCTCTATCGAAACCTCAATTGGAAGTCAGTAATTTTTACTAATGAGTCCTATTTTGAGACGGGAAACTTGCGTTGCCGCCATGCTTGTCGGGTTTTAAGGCATGCAGGTGAGGCTTATAAGCCATAAAATATACAGAGGAAGTTTGCACAGGAAGTAACTGTGATATTTTATGGAGCAATTTTGTATGGTAAATCAGGTAACTATATTAATTATTGTTATTATTTTTATTTTTATTACCTTTATTATTATTATTTTTATTTTAATGTACATAATTACTAATACAAGATATTTTGAAAGAAAATCAACTTCCCTACCATATATATGCTACACCTTATGAAACCACAAATCAGAGGAACAAGGTATTACTAGTTCTTTAAAAAGAGTATGATGTAGAGGTAGAAGAAAATGCTAGTACAGAAGCCAGAGGGTACCCAGCTCCATTTCCGGATCCAGAACTTAAAGTTCAAAAAATAGATCGCCGCGGTGGAATAGATTGGTATATCTATTGGCAACTAATTTTATCACCTCTTCATTATCCTTTTATGCAGAAGGCTATAGAAGAGTTCCCTGATAGCAATATTATAATAATGGAGGATAATGCTCCTGCACATATCCACCATTATCATAATATTCCTAGGGAAAAGTTAGGCTACCAAAAGTTAGTTTGGCCAGCTAACTCTCCTGACTTAAATCCAATTGAAACTATTTGGACCAAGTTAAAAGATAAGTTACAAGTTAAAATTCGCCATCGAATGTCAGTTTAGGTTATCCGCCAAGTTCTTGAAGAGGTATTTTATATTATGTTATCCCATAACCTGTCGAGACATTCCGGTCCGTTTTAAAATTTGGAACACTAGCCTATTAAGGAATGGTCTTGGGCACTGTGTCAACATCAACTCATCCGAGAAAAATACTACCTGCAGAGACCCCAAGTCAAGATCAAAATGCCCCCCAAGCGAAAGGTCCTCGGTGATTTACCAATCAATAATACTCACTTGGCAAATAGTCTCACCCTGCCAGAAGGCATTTCTCCTTTGAAACGGCAGCGACGGCAGCAAAAAAATGGACCTTCAGAATGGAAACCATTGACCGAGCAGCCCATGGCCTCAAGTCCAACCACTACCCCACAACCGAAAAAGACACCAGTCAAGCACCGAGCCCCAGCCGAGTCTCTCCCCGCACCTCCCCAATTCCATCCATATGATCCCCCATACTCTGAGCACTCCTCGCAGGTATGAAGAACAATTGCTCTTCTGTAAAATCTTAGGTAGAGCAAACATGCCTGGCCTGGTCATACAGCAAAATCACAACTTACTTGATCGGAAGCTTAGAAAAAGGGCATACTAGGAAGCATCTCTAGTGCTGCTCTAACGCTATCCTGGATACGGATTACTGCTGTATAACCAGTCTAGGCGAGTTTGTTATACTTTTTGTTAGTTAAATTTCAGGATAGGGAAGGTAGTCTAACGTACAAAGTAGGTCTTATTGCCGGAAGAGTTGCTACATGAGCCATACCAGTTGTTTTCGCTCTTTTTTATGGATGAGATTTTTGCGGAATTGGCTGTTAATACGAACGCATATGCTGAGATGAAGAGAAAAGTCCCAGAGAGAGGAACTAGAGTGAATGGATCTGTGGCAGAAGGAGGATCTGGCTCTGAAGAAAAAAGAAAAAAAGTCACAACCCCGGCGATGGACTGAAACTTCGGCTGCTGAGCTTAAGATATGGTTTGGGCTGATAATTAAGATGGGCCTTCACTGGGAACCCAGTTGCGTGCTCCATTGGTCGAAGGAAGGAAGGAATTCTTGGAGAAGGACGTCTATCCGGCCTGTATTACGCCAACGTTACCTTTCCACTCCACGCCGCTACCGGGTCCCAAGAAACTGTATGTCTCTTACTCGATTCCAGCAAATCAAGCGCTTTTTTCATGTTTCGGACCCCTCTATTCCACTTGAGAAAAAAGAATGGTATCGGAAGCTTAGTCCATTGGCGGATAGGTTGCGGGAAAGTTACCAGCAGTACTTTCTCCCAGGGACAAAGGTGGCCATCGATGAAATGATGGTTAGATTCTGTGGACGCAGTCATCATACCTTGAAGGTGAAGAACAAGCCAATCAAACAGGGGTATAAGATCTTTGCCCTCTGTTCTCATGGTTATACATACGGATTTCTATGGTACTCGGTCTCTGAAGGTATCGCAGAATTAGTCAAGCTGCCTAACTTGACCCCGACAGCCTCCGGTGTTTATCAGTTGGCAAAGCTTCTACCGGCGGGTATGCGGTGGAATTTAGTATTAGATAATTACTTTACTAATATACCACTATTCGAAGAGCTACTAAAGATTGGGATCGGAGCTGCAGGTACCACACGAGTAGATGCCCAAGGATTTCCTTCTTGCTTGAAAATAGAAAAGTCAGAAGCAAAGAAGATCCTCCCCTGGGGCTATTTAAGTGGTACTGTTGTGGACAATACATGCTGTCTAGTGTGGCAGGATAATAATTCTGTGTTATTCATGACTACCTATCATGATATTACAAGCACAGTAGACTGAGTTCGTCGTCGTCCAAAAAAAACCAGTACAAATGCCCTTATGGTTAGAAGAATCTTTGGCGATCAGCCTCGAAAGACCCTTCCAATCCCTACCTTTATTAACGACTACAACTATCACATGGGTGGTGTCGACATAGCAGATCAACTACGCAGCTATTACTCTACCCAGCAGCGGGCTTCTCGCAATTGGTACCCACTTTTTTATTGGCTTTTGGATACATCGATTATCAATGCCTATCGCCTACTGAAAACCCTCTATCCCCACCATAAAGGCCAAAGTCAGCACTACCTTTTTCGTGAAAGATTGGCTAATAAGCTGATCGAGGTTGGCTTAACTGAGCGTTCGGAAATGATCCCAGAATCAGAATCAAGCACTCTTTTCACTGATTCTACCACCTCCGACGGCCAACACTCTACTATCCCTGCACTCCCCTCTTCTTACTACAGCCCCACGGCTTCTCCTTCCCACTTCGGCCCTGTACCCCCTCATCTCCTGCCTACCCACTCTGCCCCACCTCCAGGACCCTCAACCTATCCCGTGCCTCTTCTATCTGCAGACTACAGCTACTCTGCTAGGAACTCTGAGCGTACACTCTATCTTTCAGCTCGCTCAAAACCTCCTCAGCTGGTTCCGTTCCCTCCTCCACCCACTCACTCTTATGAGCAACAGCCTACTCGCACTCGCTGTGCTCTATGTAGATGGAAAAAACTCACTGGGGGTGGCTTGTCCAGCAATGTTCGGTCAGTAAATAGACGCTGTCGAGAGTGCAATCTTTCATTATGTTATGAGTGTTTTACTATATTTCACTATATATAGTCTCTCCTATTTGATATCAGGTGACCCGGCACTTTACCCAAATAGGGTAGTGTTCTAAATTTTAAACAGGACTGGAATGCCTCGACAGGTTATGGGATAAGTACTCTAACAATTTAATTTCTAATATGAAAATTTCTACTAGGAATGGAAAAGTTATCCAGCAGAACGGATAAATCACCATATTGAATCAATGTCTGCCCGCATTGAAGCTTGTATCACCAATAATGGGGGCAATAACTTTAATTTCTAAATTCTACATGTATCTTTTCTTCTCTCCCCTGCTGTTTCCTGTATTGTGTTTTTTTTTTTTTTTATTATATAAATTACAATTTCTGGTTTTCATTGCTCACATTATTTTGTTGTTCTCTGATATAGCTTTAGTTTGCTTACCAAATCAAAACTCCTCTCACGCACACTAATGCACCTCTGTGCACGCTAATGCAGGGCTGGTCGTTCACAAACGTCTGGACAGGACGAGTAATACTTTCCTACTTTCAAATATAGAACCCTCAAATATTTCACATTATTTCACATAAAATCTGTCAATACTGACTAATTAAATAAAGTACCCTAACGCACGACCACCCTTGGACTTTTACAAAAACAAAAAAATCATTTCAACTCTGAATACTCCTAGTACGATACGGGTACGGTAGTCTCTGCAATCATCAGTGACGTCCGGCAATATTATTCTTTTGTACAATCTAACCTGCAACCACCCATATCCCCACCCTCGAAAAATGGGAATCCGTATTTTTGATAAATCAGAAATGAGAAATGCATGCAAGAAAAAGAAAAGGAGGAAAAAAAAAATATGAAAAGCAAAAGCTCCCGCCCAAACCTTGTATATAGCGCAACCCAGAATATAAAAAATACAAAAAGGCCCAGGTTGGGCGAACCCCCCAGCGTAGCTCGAAATCCCGACAGTACGACTCAGCAGCTAGCGGTGGCATGGTGAAATGGAAATGAAAATTGTATGGACACGGATAAAGTTCATGAAAGAACTGAGCCGTTTTTTTTTTCCGTTTCCTCTCATTCTTTTTTTTTTGGAAAAGTAGGACAGGGAGAACAGTAGCACCCCAGAGCCCCTCCTGCAGTCTGGGCTGAAGCTTACATGGCCCATTCAACTACTTCAATGGCGGTGATGACTTGTACCAAAGTGCTTGGCAAAATGACAACCACATAGCTCCAGAACAGAATCTTCGCCATAACCGATTCGTAGACACCGTTGAGTTGACAAATCTGCGCGAGTTGTAGAGCACTAGGCGCACCCGCCAACAAGAAACACACAATGACAAAGATAGGGTCATCCAAGATTGAAACATTGAGGTATTTTGCTGCGACAGCCAGCAGAGGAGCCACAATAATGAACGGCAACACCATCCTGGAGACCAACGCCGCAATCAGTATCTTGGTTTCTTGTCGCCCATCGGAAGAACTCGTCTTGGGATGCGTGTTCCCCGCGAGATTGGCGCCCAGGACAACCAGAATCAAGGGAACCGCTACGTTACCCGTCTGGCTGACGGCACGAGTCACCGAGTTCTCGATAAAGGTTCCGGGGGTGAAGAAGGCCCTCTGAAGCTGAGGTATGGATGCAACAACTACGGCGACAAACATAGCCCACAACGGGGGGTTCATGAATGACCATAGTCCCCCAAAGAATCTAGTGATTCCCGTCTTGATACCCTTGCAAACTCGCGCAAAGATGGATGAGCCGCTGGATGAGCGCCAACGCGGGACTGCAATGGGGGGATCGCCGTGAGCCGAAGGCGTGGGAGTTGCACTGCCACTTGGAGACGAGGGTCTTGTAGATTGGGCGGAGACGGCAGTGCTGACGTAGGCAGACCCGGGAGTCAAACTACCAGAGCCCCCAGCACCGTTTGCTGTTTTCACATGACGACGATTCCCGTCAAAGGCTAGAAGGGGGTCATGTTCGGAAGCTTGCTTGTTGAGGCCGACGTAGCTATTCTTAAACTGAGGCGACAGGAAGGGATCAACAATAGGGTCCTGGGCCTCAATGTCACTCCCGTCCCCTTCCGAGGGATCGTCACGATATCTCGTCGTCGTCGCTTGGCCGTCTCCGTTGGGTTGACCCACCGGGGGAGGAGCGGGAGGAGGAGGAGGAGGAGGAGGAGGTGCGAGCAAAACATGGTAGCCCCACGACCAACGAACGAGTTGACCCAGCTGTTGGAAGATGAGCAAGTACAGAATACCACGGGCAGCAACTTCCCCGTCGTTATCGCCCGGAATCTTGTCCCAGTGTAGACCAGTGATTGTCATGGATAGCGAGATAACGAGGGATATTGGAAGCGAGTTAGAGTTCCCGAAAACGCCCTGAAGACGAGTGTCAGCCGCGCTAGGGGCGCGGTGGACCAAGCCACCAGCTAGCTCCACGTAAGATGGGCAAACATACCATGGCGATAACGAAATTTCTCGCCCGTTTCTTGAGCCCAAAAAGCCTCGAGACCGTAAGGGCACAGAAGTAGGATACCAGGGTCATGACAACAAAGATGACAGGTATAACAGCCAACTCAGCGATTTTCGCCAGGGTGAGTTGACTCGCCAGCTTGGTGAAGACTAGTCCCAGAATCCCGCATCAGCCAGGCTCCCTCTCGGATCCCTCCATCTCCACCGGAAAGACCAGACTTACTCAGGCAGGGCGTGAACAAGGAGACATTAAGGTTCGCGACAAACCTCTGCATCTCCGCGTCGAACATGCCGTACCGCGCGATAATGTAGCCCGGGAAAGCCACGCAAACGACCTCGAGCACGGCTTCAAAGACGAGCAAAATCAGACGGCCCAGCGCCGGATGCGATGAATGGGGTGCCTGGCCTTTGGCCATTGTGGAGAAATCGAGCGGTATCGAACCGTTCGAAAAGGAGGTGGAATATGGCATGGGGTGGTGAAGTTGTTGCCGTGGAGAGAGGAGCTCATTATTGCGGAAGGAGGTCGGGGAAGTCAGAAAAGCCATTGGGCTGAGCGCGGTGTGGCGCGAGGTGACTCCAGGCGGGTAGGATAGTATGGTACGGGGCACTTGTAAGGTGATGTTCTATTCAAACGGGTGCTAGGGTGGAGGGTTGTGGTGGAAGCATCGAAAGCTCGGGAAGGAGGGAGTGTACGGGCTTTAAGGTATCATACGGTACCGTTGCTACCGTACTCACACAGCACAAGCTCCCTCGCACTCGAGTAGCAATGATTGCAATACCATGTGCTGGGGCGCCAATGATCGCGATAGGCACTGAACGGCGGCGGCGGCGGCGCTTGTTTCGTCCATGCTGGGCTGAGCCTTTTCAGCCCATTTGAAAGGATAGGGGAGCCTTCTTTCCTTCTTTGAGCGACGAGGACGCGTCGGAAGGGGCGATTTGTAGATAACGACTCAAGACAAATTATGCGTGATATACCTGGTACAGTACTCGAGTACACCGGTCCGGATCAGTATCTTTACCACGACTGCACGAGTGCCAGTGGAGTAGACTGCTGTACGAGTACAGAGCAGTAGGGTCCTGGAACGAAACAGCCGCCCTCATCCCCCCCCCCTTTTTTCTCCTCTCCACTTCCCCTTTCATTCTTACCCGAGCACATCGGGTGAGTCGGGACAATTTTAATGGCGGAGTCAGCTGTTGGGCCCTCGCGCAAAGGGGTCTTCTCGGATGTTTATGAATAATGCGGTACTCGGGCAGAGCAGACAAATACCGATGTCACACTGCATCTCACCCTCACGGCAAAACTGCAAAGTGGTAGGGCTACACATGGGCATCCGGGGCGATGAAACATCACTGGCAGAACCAGAACCAATGTCACGCATGATCCTGTCCTGTGCATATGGACGGCGTGAGCATGATATTCGGGAGTTCTCAGCAGCCCCCCTCACTAAGCCGAGCAGATTCACGGGCAATGCATCGTCCCTGAGGTTCACTCGGGGAGCGTCAACATTGTGAATTGGAGGGCGATGCCAACCTACGATAAGGCTCGATCCCAATTCCCCCCACTGCCAAGTCACTTGTAAGACACATTAAGAAGGGGCCCGCGACACTCGACCCACCAATGAACGGGATGATGATACGAGTACAGTAGCTAGGCGAGTTGGCGAAATGGGGGGATAGCTCGAGAAATCCCCCATCCTGCGGACCAAAACACGGTCAGATTCGACAGCTTAACTTATTACTGTAATACCCGTATCATACTGTACTCGTACTGTTCCGAGTGGACTACCGTACTGCATTCACCGTATTAGCAGATAGCGTCAGACCCGCGTCAGAAACATGTTCCAATTATGGACGCTTCTCTGCGTGCCAAGACTGCCAAGACGAGAAAGCCAAGCCAAGCCGGGTGAGAACGGTACAAGACCTTGCACCCGGGGCCCAACTCCCCCACGTGGAGTCAAGTCATCCCCTGGTTGGCGCCAGATAAGGATCGACCAATTTTGCCATTGGGTTGTGTTGTGAGACATGGCATTCCCTCGGAATCCCTCCAACTGCTCGCCTCCGGGACGCCAAGTGCGAGCACCGTGCTCCAACCTACGGTACGATCGTGCTTTTATCATACCGTATCCCGCCTGTATAATGCGGGGCGGTACAGTACAAGTACAAGTAGCAACACTCGGAGCAGCACCTCAAAAGTCCATCCGAAACAAGTTACTCGTACGATACTGGAAAGGTTTGCAAAGGATTACTCGAGTGGACTAATGTCACACGACCTTGTTTGATATATACTTGTACTGTACGGTAATATCCCTTTTTCAAGTGCCCAGGCTTGAAGCGGACACCACTGCCTCGTTGATCGCCGCAACGGGGCCCGGAGCGGGTAGATCATATCTGGGGAAGGCTACCAACAGCACCCCATCCCAAGTGCCGTACCGGTACTCGAGTAGATAAACCGGTATATACCGGTGTGGCGGTCCCCCACATAAAAAGGGATTCAAGCGTCTGCATGCACACTCTGCACCCCCCCTTTGTTTCTCACGGGGGCTGAGGAATTACAGTAGGGACAGCGCCGGTCCCTCTGATCATCAACCGACTCGAGTGCGCCGAGACACCCGCTCGGCCATGATGCGCGGCCTGGGTTTCACGGTCGCGAGAGAATGCACACTTCAGGGGTTTCACTCCGGCCTCAGTTCGGCTGAGAGCTCCCTGCCCTATCTCGTGCCGGGGCGCCTCTCCTCCCCCGAACACTGGTGAATCGATTGAAGCAGCGGTCGTCTATATCACATCATCTCGCGGGTCTCGGGAAGCTACATTTGTTGCTGCGCGTCTGTTCACAATAGGGATTTTCGGGGGCATCGGTGCCGGCTGCTGGAGCATGGTAACTACGGTACTCGAGTAATGTACGCGCTATAAACATCTCGCACGTCAGAACAGACGGCTGCACACATGAACCTTTCTAGGTCAGGCCGACTGATACTGTGTTCACAGTATGCCGTATCATAGGCTGTCACTCTTCGGGTGACTTGTTTCAAACCTTGGAGAATGCACTTTACATCGCTAGCCCCATTCGTTACGTTTCTCATTTATAAATCACCACCTAGGTCTGGATCGACGATTCAACGATATCCACCCGAAGGCCAAGCCGAAGCCGCAGAGGGGGCCCTCCCCATATACTTGATTCTCAGAGGGATGTGGTAGACGGACGTCGACGCACCTACCATGAATGCGCTGGTTCTCCGCAGGAATCTCGCTAGCATTGAAGTGCAGGCCCTCATCTCCATTCATTCACCAAGTCCCTGGCAAAACCAAGACGGCGTTTAAACCTTGCTGACGGTACCGGTATTGTAACACTCTTGAGGATGCTCTGCTAGTACGGTACGAGATTGCGTCACGATCTCGGAAAAATATTGCGCTTGCCCGGAATCATTCGACAGACAGTCAGCAACCGACGGAAGAAGCGGGCGAAGATTGACACTCTCACTGTCCGCTCCCCGCCAGAATCGCTTCCTGGAGCGGTGGCCCAACCCGACCCTTGGCGAGGCACCGAACTCGCCATATAGTGAGCAATTTATGGGCATCTTGATTGCCTAGGAGCTGGACTGGGGACTCGTTCGTATCGGTGGTGGTGGCCTAATGCCGGGTATCCCCAGCCTAAGCCCAACATTGCTCGTTTGGCCTCCGCTGAACTGCTTGGCGGGGACAGGTACCTCGGGCCAAACTATCCTACCCTTTACTCGTAAACACGGGAAGAAGTATGACTTGTTCAGTGACTGTCACTCATGTGACGGAGAAAACCAGCTTTACGATTTAATAGGAGCCAACCTGTTATGTTAGGGGAGCGACGCTTGGCCCTTCGGGAGGTCGCTTTACCCTGCCCCTCGCGAATTATGATCAAGGTCTACAACAGACGATACCATGCATCACTTTCCGACTCGACTCACTTCGGTAATTAGCAACAAGGCGCCTCTCACAGCATTCGGAACGCTATAAATATTCGGGGAGCTGTTTCATTGCACCCTTGAGCATTGCAATGTCACCTGCTTGTTGGACGGTGATATCCGACAAGTTCATGATACACAAAGTCCACCCCCCGAGCCAGTGGGGTAATGACTCGCGGATGAGGACGCAGTTAGTATCGAGTGAGAGAGATTGGTCGGGGGTGTGTAACTCTTGAGGGGGGGATGTTTGAGGGGTTGGGCATAGGGTGACTCTGTTCACGAAATCGCAATAAATACAACATGGAAGACTAGGCGTGATGCTATGAGAGCCACCAACACATTCTGCAAGTACCCATCCACAGCGCAGCTTGCCCTAGATTTCTGGACTAGAGGAAAAGTTGGTCTAGGGTACTTCTCCCCTTCACCGTATGAACTGACAGGAACCCAGTAATGTGGTAGTCGCCTGCTTGTCGATTTAATGAGGGCCGGATTCTGCCCAAGGCCCAGGCATAGGGGCAGTAGCTTTCTTAATAGCTATAGGGACTATGGCACTACCGGCATGCTCAAGTATGATACCGTCCTGTAGTTTTCTGTCGTTGTATATATCGAGTGAGAATGTATGATCCTAGGGTCCATGCACCGCGACCAAATCCTGGGCAAGATGTACTATACCTCGATAACCCTAGTGGAGTTCTACATCGGAGTATGATAGCAAAAGCAGAGCTGATCCCCCCCCGAACGCCCACCAAAAAGCCCAACCTGCTCTCTCTATTCAAAACCCCATCCCCAACTTACTAAAAAAATCCGGGTAACCACCTCCACACCGCCACCCCCGCTACCGCTCCAAACGATGTGCGGGATCCTCTTCTCAATCGCCCCCACGACTTATTCTCCCCCACATTCCACTTCTACTTCCCTCCCAGACCTAATCTCCCGCCGGGGTCCTGACATCACCAACACTCATGTAACCACTTTCGCAAATTACACCCTAACCTTTACATCCTCCGTCCTCTCTCTCCGCGGAAAGCTCACCCCGCAACCTCTTATTGACCCGGTAAGCGGCTCGGTGTTGTGCTGGAACGGCGAGGCATGGCGGATAAATTCCGCTTTGGCACCTGCGGGGGTCAATGATGGGGAGGAGGTACTTAAGCTACTGCTCTCGGCGGAGGCCCCGGAGAAGGGCTTTGCGGGGATTGCGGGGCCTTGGGCATGCGTGTTTTTCGATGCCGTCAGGGGCAGGGTCTGGTTTGGGAGGGATTGTCTGGGGCGGCGAAGTTTGCTTGAGTTGCGGAAGGGGAGGTGGAAGGACGGAGTTACAATTGCTAGTGTTGGGGATGGGCATGAGGGGTGGAAGGAGGTGGAGGCCGAGGGGTTGAGGTATTTCGGTTTACACAGTGGAGAAGAGGGGGTTGTGCCATTCCTTCACCAGGAGGATAGGGATGAGGGCCAGGTTTCTATGGTTTATACTTCTTCTTTAGCTTACGAGAGTGCTGGGGCTGATGGGGAAATCTAGGAATTGCCATTCCCCAAGCTCAGTCGGACCATCGAACCAGGCGGGTGCTTAAATACGGATTCTCCGGAGGTTGGAGAACTCAAGGAGGTTCTACTAGAGAGCGTCCGGATAAGAGTCGCCGACATCCCCGAACCCCCGGGTCCCGGAAGAAAGGTTCGACTGGCAATACTTTTCTCCGGGGGTCTCGACTGCTCAGTGATAGCCCGGCTCGTGCACGAATGCCTGCCACTAGATGAGGCCGTCGATCTCTTAAACGTGGCATTCGAGAACAAACGCTTCGTCGAAGCCCGAAACAAAGCGAACGAAGCCAGCAAATATAAACGCCAGACCCAGCCCCCAGGAGCGGCAGCTGCGGCGGAAGAGCCTCCACGGGAAGGCGCAATGGATCCGTACTCCATCTGCCCCGACCGAATAACCGGCCTAGCCACCTACGCCGAGCTACAGAAGATCTGCCCCGGCCGTCTCTGGAACTTTATACAGATCAACGTCCCCTACCCGGAACTTCTCTCCCACCGCCAATCCGTAATAAACCTGATTCACCCGCACAACACTGAAATGGACCTCTCAATCGGGGTAGCCTTCTACTTCGCCTCCCGAGGCACAGGCTACCACTTCCCAGGCGGCCAGCCCTACTGTTCCTCAGCACGCGTCCTCCTCTCCGGCCTTGGCGCCGATGAGCTCCTGGGTGGGTACGCCCGTCATGCCACCGCCTTCCGCTTCCGCTCTTTCATGGGCCTACTAGAGGAACTCCAGATTGACGTCAAAAGGCTTGGGAAGCGCAACCTGGGCCGTGATGACCGCGTGCTGGCGCACTGGGGGCGCGAAGCACGGTATCCGTTCCTGGACGAGGACGTGGTAGCATGGTGCCTTGGCACTAGGGTCATCGGGAAGTGCGGGGGCGGTGAAGAGGAGGTTGTGGAGGGGAAAAGGGTGCTTAGGCTGTTGGCGAGGATACTGGGGATGCAGGAGGTGGCGGGGGAGAAGAAGAGGGCTGTGCAGTTTGGGAGTAGGAGTGCTAGGATGGAGGCGGGGGAGAAGGGAAGGGTTAAGGGGACGGCGGTGATTAGTTAGAGAGTTGGTTGGGATGTCTTTCAGATTGTGCATTTCTGAGTCACGCCATTCGGACGAGAATGCTCGGAGTGCTGATGCCCGGCTCGGCGGGCTATGGCGGGAGGGCGCCCGGAAATGCTGCGCCGTATGTTGCTCGAACGATTCACTAAGTACCTTTACCAGACTATCCTAGACATTATAGGCCAACCCGACTACTACGGACCACACTTTAGATTCTACTATGCGCTATAGTTGAATTTTCATTTCAAAATGTTAGATATGATCATCTGATAACCCATCTAAGCCGATCTCTCGTACACATCCTAAAACCTGCCTCCCAGAAAGAAGTGATATCCGTCTCCTGCAATGAAAAAAAAAAATTTAAAAAAATTTGCCCATATGCTTTTAAGTTGGAGGTGAGCTAAAAAGTAGGTAGCTTGAAAAAGGCAGAACTTTCCAAATTCCTTTGAGGTCTCGGAGGGGGGGGGGGGGGCGGATATCATACTATGATAGTATGGTATTCGAGCACGGCATGAAATGATATGATGCCGTAAATCGAACCTCAGCCACATATTTCTACCCGAACACGCCAACGCTTCTTCCCGCCCTCTCCGCGAATAATAATAGTTCCTGTGCTGGCCGGAGACCAATCCCGTAGGTTCATCATACGGTTATCGCAGCAATACGGTACCATACATGACTTATCACTCGCTGTAGTATCCTTCGATGATATCGCATTGAATATATATCGCGCTCTTTTTCCCGTGGGGTCTCGCGTTCCGCGTTTGGTTATTGTGGGTGCTTGGTTATGGTGCTCGGTTGGTGTGTTGGGGTTGGTGAGGCTGGATGTTCTGGTGGTGTTGGGTTGTTGTGGCTGGTTTGTGGGGGGGGTGGGAGGGGATTGGCGGGGTGTAGTGTGATATTCTGTGGGTGCGATGGTGAGAGGGTATGGTGATGGGATGTATGGTGGTATTGGGGTTAGGCATTCTTCTTCTTTCGGTTATCCGGGCTATTTCGTGCGCCTCGTAGAGGGAGGGGTATCATAAACTCATTACACCAAAAACCCGGGACTCAACTCGGAGCTTGAAGGAAGACTTCGGGCTATGATAGGCTCATCTACATACATATCCTGATTATACCGTAACCCTACCGCGCCATGCAAATCAGTACCCAAACCCCCTCAAACCCCATTTACTCCCACCACCGCTCTTCTTTCCCGACACAACCTCCTTGCTCTTGCCCTTCCCCACACTCCTCTCGAGCATGGGATTATCCCTAACCCACTTCTCGTCCATCTCCCAATTCTTCACGGCGAGTTCCTCGTCCCACTCAGCTTCCCGGAGGCACACGTCCACAACGTCCGCATCGAGACACTTGGTCTTCAACTGAAACCTCTTGGCAGCCGCTTTACGACTCTCCCCTTCCACGTCTTCCGGTGCTGGAGACAGCGAGGGCCCAGTGTATGGCGGCGAGGGGATATCTACGCTCCGTCGGCCGTGTAGGAGGTGGTCGGAGAAGATGCGGTTGTGTGAACGTAATAGCGGAAGCGGGAGGTTGTATTGGAGAGCTATGGTTGGGAGTGTATCCGTTGCGCGTATGTAGTGGATTACCCCACTGCTTGTGGAGTATGATGGCGGAGGGGGGCTTGGGGCTGCGGGAGCGTATGGTGGCGGTAGTGGCCGGAAAGGAGATTCCCTCTTTGCTTCACCTTCCCCGTCCCCACCCCCTTTAGAGCAAGATGATTGGCAGAAAGGGCAGTAGATACCGAATCGGGGGTTTCTCTAAGGATACCAGTAAGGTACACATTTCCAGCCAGAGGGGAGGAGAAAAAAACAGATATGCAGTCACCGCAGACTATTCTTCCGCAGCAGTTCAAGTGGCGAGAGTCTGATTTTTGGTGATCAACAGAGTGCGTGCAGGTGCTGCAGTGGATCTGATAGGTTGACGTGTAAGCTGGAAGTGGCATAGTATCCGTCTCGCTAAGGCACCGGCACCGGCACTGCGGTGTTATAAGCACGAATGGGCGTGCGAACTGATGGAGAGGATGAACTTCGACTCAGGAGATTGCGGTTGCATCACATGCGATCGTTCGGGAATCATTATCTAATCCAAGTTTATCCACTTGTCCTGTGCCGGCACTAGCCCACAGCGGAACTTGCCGATAATGGGGTTCCCCCTTCTCTTGCGTCCTTCCAACCATCCAACCTTCTGCCGGGTTTCCCTTCACCCTTTGACCCAGGAGCCCTCCAGGCACGAGTTAAAAGCAAAGAGTGCGGTAAATTCCATTAAACCCTGGTAGCAAGATCCACCGCGCACTCGCGGAGAGTGGGGTGGCGAATGTGCCACACGTGAAACCGTACTCGAGCACTGCCATGGAGTACGGCGGATAGGCATTCTTGGCCCACCAGTCCAGCTTCTAGTTATCATCATCACTATTTCTCGAAAACGCGATTTTCCATGTTCTGCGAGGTTCAGTGGGACGCACGATGAGGGTCACGTGTGAGGGGCACATCTTATCGCATCAGGAGCCGGCGGTCGATAAGCGACTGGGAATTACGGTAATTTACCCTGAGCGGGCCCGTGCGTAAAAACCCTCTCAGGATGACGCGGGTACCGGCGTTGGACCAAAAAAAAAAACTAGATAATAATAATTATGATATATCATACAAGTAACTGAGTGCATACCGTATCCTGAATGAAAATGTTACCGGCCTGAAATCCCAAAAGGTATTTCAATGTTGGACCCTGTGAACGTATTCCACGCCGTGGCGAGCCCCCGGCATGGCAAGCCATCCACCCAAATATTATACTAGCTACTATTCAAATCTTAACCAGGGTTCGACCAATCACGTTGCCAAACTTGCGGATGGCTCGCTATCATGGAATACGTTATTCCGCAACTAAGACGTTTCATGTTTGTGGAACAAGGCCCTGTACTGTAGAAAACCTGCAGGACGCCACCATCTCGCAAATACCGGTACTTCATTCCGCTACCGTAAAGTGGATCTTGGAAACTGTTTCCAAGTATAGTAACCGGACCGAGTGAATAGGCCCTACGCATCCTACCAAGATTCTATTCTATTAGCGGACGGGGAATAGAGGCCCGGGTTCAAATTCAACGCATGTTGTGCGCTCATTACAAGCCATCGGTATCCAGCATACGGTATTTGTCCCGTTTGGACTGCTGTAGCGGAATGCAGTCAGCAAATCGATAGGCAGTTGGCTTGACAACTTTAAGGATGCTAAAATAGCTTCCTCCATTAAAGGAGTCAAGGTAAGAAGAAGAAAGCTACCTGTATCAAGCCGTTGATATTCACTAGAGGGTGGGGTGTTGGGCTTAGACCCCGCAGCCATGCTCGAAGCTATGATATCTTAGGTTCTTGTGAATAAGCGGCCGGAGATAATAGTTTTTCTTGGTGAGTATTTTGCTTACCGCGAACATGCATATGGCACTTGTAGAGTGCTACAATGCAGTATTGAAGGCCATGGTCTTTTGGACATTACTCTCGCTGCAAAGGGAACACTCGGCAGATCCCCTGTACTAGGGGTACTCAAGTGGAGCTGCATTTCGACAGCTATTCTGTCGGAGTGCAAGGTCCTTTGTAAATACTGTTTCTTTGCCGTCAGGCCATTGTAGTGACCCATCCAGTGCTGTAACCCGGGCGGGACATGTGGGAAGGTACTGTAAGAGCTGGGAGTATAATGGTGGGACATGTAGGTGGTCTCGTAGCCATAGTCCCTCCGGCGGGGCAGATATGGATTGCAGTATGTGGTAGAGCATTGACAAATATACCTTGAGCTCTTGGTGCTGATACCTCTTCCCAGTTATGAGCCATTCACTGGTAAAGATCGAGAGCATCTTCAATCCCTCCGGGGTTTTCCAGAAGATCTCGACTTGCAATGGGGACGCTGGTCTGATTGTGTGTAAGTGTGTCTAGTGGACAGATTTCCAGTGGGTAAACCGTCGGCAGAGGTAGACAAACTTCCATTGACATGCCATATACGCAGCTCGACGAAAACCTGAGTACCAATGATCAGGTGGATCACCCGTGCCCACACGATCCGCCTCGATCACACACTCTCTCTGCGAATGCGAGCCCTACAATTCCATCCCCGGCTCACATGTTTGAGGACAAACAAATAACTCATCATTGGGCACGCATGAAAGTTGAAGCATGAGATGGGCATGTACTCGTACAGTATTGCACAATACGGTAAGCCCGATTCAGCCATACCGTGCATTCCATACCGTCCGATATGCTACCGTAGTTCACGCTACTGTGTCACACGCAGCTCTGCTGCCAGTATCATTTGATTCCTCCCATATCGCTGCTTCTTAGTTGGTGATTAAGCCTAGAAGTATCCTATCGTTGGAGCGGCGATCTGCGGCGGAACCCCTCCCTTTTTTTTCTATTTTTTTCAAACAGGAAACCAGGGCCGTTACTAGCACAGCGCACTCGTCAGTAACGATATTAACATCTTATGAACGATACAGCAATACAGAGCACCGCACCACCGATAACAAAACGAGGCGGTAAGCCTTAATTGGAACCTTTGTCGAAATCCCGGGTATCACAATTAATTAGTCTTGCTTAGGTTCGTCTTTGAGGAGGGTTTCCCAATCCGCCTCCCCCGGCCTTTAACCCGAGGAGGGGGGAATCTGTTATGATAGGGAACTCTTCCTAGCCCCGAAATTCTGGAACAACTCATCGATCAACAACCTGCTTCCCGATTGATAATGCGGATCAGAAAAGACATGCCAGACCTAGGGCTCCGGAGAAGATCTGCTGCGAAAATCACTCTTCCCGGGCAATACAAGAGCGAGTGAGGCTGGATAGTGGTGGTGAACTGCGAATTGCGTTCCAGGAGCATCCTTGCGAGCACTGCAGTAGGGCTCGTTCTGTACCACATAATTGTTGGGGCGAATGGTAATTGAGCTTATTGTATCATACCCACGATAGGCATTCGCTGAAACCATCACGAGGGACTGCGCGGTAAGGCGTAGCGGGGCGGGATACAGAGCGGCGGTGAAGAGACGAATCGATTTACGATACCAGTACGGTAACTCAGGCAGAAGTGTTTCAAGCGCAACGAGCACTGTGCGCTTTTGATGCAAAAATATCTATCTGGTGGTGGAAACGATGGGGCAAACTCATCCGTGGATGTCCGATTGGATGGCCGAGGGATAGATGACATCGTGCCTACAGTTCATTGCACCCTGGATGGGGATAAATTAGGGGGGAGGAGGGGAAGAGGGGCTGTTGTCGTAGCCATCAGAGTTCCCGAATTTTATCCCCGGGGTGTACTGTACTGTATAGTACGGCACTGGAAATGACACGTCGAGACGGACCCGGACGCTCGGAGGCAGAGAGTGCTGGGCTCCCGGTTTCTCGAGGTCTGTTGTGGTGGTGATGAGGAAAGCTTGGTGACACCTCCAGCGGCGTCTACCGCTGCACCAAACTTCTAAAAATTACACCACTAAAGCACGGTATCCGTTCCTCCTTCCCGCACAATTGAACGGCTTGGTGGAGAGGTGGATACGAGTATATTTCAACGGGAAAGTTGCATCACGGTAAGGGAGTGTCGTTTCCCACCCTTCCCCTGCATATTCGTCGCTCAAGGACGGCGCAGTAACTTACCCGGGGGCAGGTGGCTATCGTGCCAACTTTAACTCTAAAAAAAGGAAACCGGGGAGCCGAACCTTGATTTCTCGAGAGGCCCGGAGATGCGTTGTGGACTCTCTCGCCAATTTTATAGGTTTTTGGTCACCTTGACATGAGCTGCATTCGAAAGCAGGATTTCCATCCTGATTTCTTCTAAACTTGCCCTCCCTTGATTGGGCGAGCCGTGGCACGGGGGGTGGTTGGCTAAGGTATCTCTCGGGATAAATGAGATTCCTGTAAAGTGGCTGGATTACCATCACCCGTGAGATGGGGATTCCCCTTTCACTGGCTGTTGGTTTAAAGCAGGGAATTCAGTTGTACAAGCGGTTGAACGAATCCCCTGATACCGCCTCCGAAGCTGGTAGGGTGGTGCAGATTGCATAATTTTCCTCTCTCTGAAATGCATTGGCATACGTAGTTCCGCATATCACTTTTGCATTGGAGGAGGGGTGATTGAAGGGAATACTTGTGCGGGTACTTTCCAACCCCGATGTCGATGCTATTCCAGCGGTAAGCTCACTACCGGTGCTTGTATCGTGTGGTACTCTGTCCACCATCATTCCTGCTTTATTTCTTTTTACTACCGGAAAAACGTAGGGTGCAGCAGGGCCTTTCTTCTCATTTCATTTTTTTTTTCTCTCCTTTTCTGTTTTTCCTCCTTCTCTTTACCTTTTTCCACTTCTGTTTTGTCCCTGTCGCGAGTCGTAGACGAATGAGCCTCGCACCTACCCGTTCACTCGGTCGACCACGGAGAGAGAGGGTGATACAGCATCATCGGTGTTCTGTGCTCTATAATTTTTTAAAAAAAGAAGGCTTAAGCCTCTCCAGAGCCTTTCATCTTACAATCCAGTAATAAGATCTCCCCGTAATCCTTAAAGGGACCCCATTACCTTCCCCGGATCTCTATCCCACCCATTTTCCTCTCGAGACAAGAAAGCCATAGTCTAAGCTCTCCCACAGAAAAGACTAGATCCGTCGGGCTCTAGTTTCCTCGCTTTACCCGCTTCACGGCATCCAACACGCCTACAAAGGAATTCTCTCAGAAACGCCACTATTGAGCATTGGTGGTTCCGTTGACTTTTTTTCTGAAAAGAGCTTTCCTCCTTATTCCGCAGAGGACGGATAACACCTCCGTTCCCCCTACCCCAGCCGCCCTAGCACTCCGGAAGCCCATCACAGCAACAACTCTCGTGCCATCATCGACACTAGCGGTTTATCTAGCGGCCCTGGGATAGACGACCGCGATTTATAATAAGGGAGAAGAGGGAGGGAGTGTTTCAAAGCGTGAGTATCGAAGAAGGAAATGAATTGAGAAATGAAAATAAAAAAGAGAGAGGGAGACAGTTCAGTTGATCTAATTGCCGATTGCTTGTATGATAGGGATACCCAAACGCTGATCGGTAGAAAAACATACGTCAGGACCACGCACAGGGATTTGGATTCTCAGCCAAAGAGAGAAGGGGAAGGAGAGAAAAATAAAAAAATTAAGACGTGAGCAAGGCAAGACAGGCAAGAAAGGTGTACTCGAGTATCAGAGAATTTGTGTTGGTTTCTAGTGGTGCTGCTGCCCCGACTGCACTGTACATACTGCCTCTGCCGGCTCCTGCTGCCTTAGCTGCGCCCAAACTCGCCGGCTTGCCCGCTCCTGCACTGCCATAACCTCATCCACCACGCACTTCGACAACAGTTCGCATCCTCCTCCGCTTTCCCTCCCCCGATACGACTTCTGCTACGTGCTTCCCCGCTCCCTCAGCACTCCAGCCCTCACCTCACCTGGCCTCACCCTTCCCCCAACCCCTTCCTCACCCCTTCCTCACCCCTCTTCCATCCTCTCCCTTTATTATCCTCCTATCTCCTCTTCGGTTGTCCATCTTCCACTCCTCGGCATCCACCCCTCCCCTGTTCTGTCCGCCTTCTTGTGAGCTAGAAACTTTGTTGCGGCTCTTGCGCCAAGATTGCGACTGCATCCCGCTTTAGGGAAGGAAAGCTCGGCACCGACGACGACGACATCACCTCCCCCGTGGCAGGCACTGACAGAATACCCTTCCGCCTCCCTCATCTCTCATCGCCAGATTTTAACCCCATCATGTCATCTCCATTGGAAGAAGATCATCCTGAAACACCCTCTTCCCCCGACCCTTTTGGCGACTCGGCCTCAATATTCACGACAACCTCACCACCATCCCAACCCCGCCGAACCATTCCCTCTTTTCGTTCGATATCAGATTCCCAAACGACCGCACAAAGCTCAAATCCACTCGCCCCCCTGAATGCTGCCCGAAGACCCGGCCCTCCGCAGGTTCCTTTCGCATCCATGCAGTCCGTGGGGAGCGGTACCGGGGGATTGCCGAAGGACGTGCACGCCAGATTGCAAGCATTCCAGGCTTCAAGACGTGGTGCCCCATCAGCGGCGATGAGCGGAGGCACACCAACGCTCCAGACAAAGGTTTCCCCGGTAATTGGACCTGCTATGAGCCCCACCGGCGCTCCGTTTAGTCCTGCTGGCGGGATGCCCGGAAGCCCCGGTGGTCGACCAGCCGCTCCGCAGAATTGGATATCCGCCCCTGCTATGGCCGGACGTGTGGGGCCGCCAAGGATGTCTCTAATGGAGAGACGGAGGATTCAGGGCTTTCCTGGAGCCCTTCCACCAGCTCCCGGGGCAGTTCCACCGGGACCTCTGGGTGGGGGCAATCCAGTTGCTAATGGTGGGACCGGCGCTGCCCCTACAGACGGCGTTCAAGGATCGCTGTTTGACAAGTATTCGGAATATGTTGATGCTAAGACCGGAAGTCTGAAATTCGCGGGGAAGGCCGTCTTGCACAGTAAAGGTGTGGATTTTTCTTCAGGCAGCAGCTTTAGTATCTCGTTGGAGGAGCTGGACCAACTGGAGGAGCTTGGGAAGGGCAATTACGGAACGGTTCACAAGGTTGTGCACAGGCGCCCAACTGTGTCACGGAATGGAGCAGGCCCAATGCCGAACTGCCCCAGCTCACCTATTTCTGCGTCATCCCCCAGGCCCATTGCCGATAGCGGCGAGGAACCTCCGGCTCCACGTGGAACGGGAGTGGAGATGGCCATGAAAGAAATCCGACTCGAGCTCGACGAAAACAAGTTTGCGCAAATTATTATGGAGCTAGATGTGCTCCATCGCTGTCTTTCGCCTTTTATCATCGATTTCTATGGGGCTTTCTTCCAGGAGGGCGCTGTATACATCTGTATGGAGTACATGGACGGTGGCTCCATTGATAAGCTTTACAAAGATGGTGTCCCTGAGAATGTGCTGCGGAAACTCACTTATGCTACAGTTATGGGGCTTAAGACCTTGAAAGACGACCACAATATCATTCATCGAGACGTGAAGCCGACCAATATTCTGGTCAACACTCGAGGCGAGATCAAGCTTTGCGATTTTGGTGTCTCGGGGAACCTTGTTGCTAGCATAGCAAAGACAAACATTGGATGTCAAAGTTATATGGCGCCTGAGAGAATTGCGAGCGGCGGTGTCCAGGCCACTGTCGGTGGCTCAGCGCCAGGCACGTATAGTGTGCAAAGTGATATTTGGAGTTTGGGGCTAAGTCTCCTGGAATGTGCCATGGGATGTTATCCATATCCACCGGAAACCTACAACAATATCTTTAGCCAACTTAGTGTAAGACTCCCAATGCTTACTGGCGAGATTCTCGTGCTGACAGATGCCGGCAAATAGGCTATCGTCGATGGTGAGCCTCCAGACTTACCAGAGAAAGGCTTCTCAGCAGAAGCTCGTAACTTCGTACGTGGTTGTCTAAATAAGATTCCAAATCTACGACCCACATATTCCATGCTTCTTCGACACCCCTGGTTGTCGGAGTTCTCCCAACCAGCCACCATTTCAGAGGAGGACGAAGAGATGCAATCGCCTGTAACTCCACCCACAATCAAGGGTGATAAAGAGGTCGCGGAATGGGTTGTTGGTGCTATTGCAGAACGGAAAGCTCGAATAGAATCGGGCGGCAAGGGGACCGAATCGGAAAAGCCCGCTTTGCATGCTGCTCCGCTGGACGTGGTGGTTATAGCGCCTACCAAAGATGCTCCCGCGGCTGAGCCGACCACCCCGGGAGATGTAAAACCTGAAGACCAGGAGCTGAAAAGCGCAACATCAGACCTCCTAAAATTGGCTGTAGAAGGATAAATCGACCATTCCTAGATTTTACACGGATTCATCATCACCTCTCCTCACCCCTCCTCTTGCTTCCTTCTTTCCGGTTCACTTTTTCCATCATTTCCTTTGCGCATTTGAGAACCTGATTCAATGGATAACGATATTTGCATCTTGCCACAAAAGCCCCATATCATTTCCTTTTTTACTTTTTATTGTTTTTTTCCCATATAGTTTCCCTTTCGTTTGGGAGGGGTTGGCATATATCCATCCCTGGTTCTTTCTCATGTTACCTTCTATTCCAGTTTATTTTCCCCCCTTCGCGAATCTCTTTGTATGGAATATTTCCTCTTATTTCTTACCTTTTGCTATAGGGGATACATGGGGAAGGCGCGCGGGCTCTTTTTCCTTCCCTTTTTAGATTTCTCCCTTTTTGTGCTTTGAACGGCGTGCCGGGTATGGAGGGATTGGCGGAAGATGGAAAGAAAGGGAAAAGGAAAACCCTTCGAAAATTACAATGTTGGATAATGTTTTGTCTGTGCGATGCGTGATGTGATCTTTTTTCTGAGCTAGTCAAGTTTGTCATGAGTAGTCACTCGGTGGTGAGGTTTGAGAGGCGGATCGCCCGGTGGGAATCGGTCGCTGGCATGGAGCGTCGATGAGGGTGGCTGTCCTGTCATACCGGTATTTATCTACAACCCGTGGTGCCGAGAGTAGCGCGAAGTGCGCTGAACGAGGTTTTCACGAGTCATGAACGTTCCATGACAGCACTCTTCTGTTGGACACGCTGCTGATGTGCCGGCGCCTCGCGGCCTGTGGCTGTGGGATAGATGGTTTGATCAGTGACCTCCCTTCCGGCCTTCCAAATCCTCTCCTGCTCATAGCCAAACATGCCCTTTTTCATCACCAAAATCCCGACTGTGGTTATCCGCACGAAGGGATTTCGCCGCTAGATATCGACGGTTTTTATTGCCTACAATTCCCCTTCCCTCCAGGATGCATCGGCGCCAATGATGCACCCAATGTATAGCAATGCAGTATTGCACTCGACCTCGAGCAAAAAGAAAAAGGAAAAAAGAAAAAAAAAAGAAGAGAAAAGTCTACCTGCGAGTAGGACGAGTATTTATATTCCAATTTTTAAATTCAGTATTACGTGTAGCACGACATGATGCCTAGTTCTCAACCAACCAACCAACCAACCAGCAGGAGCCCAGGAACCTTGAATGAACTCCAAGGGAGGAGCTAAACTACTATCGAATCGAACGATGGGTAGGTAGGCTACGAACCCTACGGGGGGAAAAACACCGAATGCCCAAAAAAATAAAAATAGAGGCTGTTGAGCAAACACAATCTGACCCACGATACTGTTGCACTGCATCATACTAGTACTGTACATACCCATCATGCAACCTAACCAATAGTCTAAGACTCTAAGTCAATCCCGGAATAATAAATAAAAATAATAATTCCCCGGTACATACTTTACGGTAGAAGATCACCCCTTCTCGTCCACATATAACAATAAATAAAAGGGACATATGATATTCGGCAAATGAAGTGTGGAATACTTGGACTTCTTCTAATCCGGGGGTATATATATAGAATACTTGTAGTATAGTATAATATACTCCCCTGTCTCTCTCCAGGCCTCTCTATTCTTGAACTATTGGAGCTCATGTCACACACACCCCGGTTCGGCGTGACTTGAGTCAAGTTAAGGTTATTGGTATGGTGCCGGTAAGTTAGGCCTGACAGTGTTGAGATCTAACTTTTTACAATGTATACACCGCATCGACTTTTTATTTTTATTTTTATTTTATTTTACCAGGTAGGTTTTCACTAGCGTGCTGTACCAAAGATATGATTTCCTATCTTCGATTGCCAACACCCAATATAAATGTTCCAACCCGTCACAATAATCCCGTTCGCCCGACGGATTGGCAACGTTCCCAGCGGGGTATATCGTAGCCGTGCCGTGAGGCAAGTAAGCGATAGGATCGCGAACTGGCGAGGGTCCTTTGTTATGGACGGTTGTTCCACCGCTGTCACCGGTCTATGGGATACGGTACAGTACTGCGATGGTGACGACAATAATAATGATGAAATGTACGATGGGAAAGAGAAATGTATGGATTGCCTCCAGTATCGGATCATTTGTGTATGATAATATACGGTACTTTATTTTTTTTTTCCTATGGCGGTTGCCGTTCGGATGTATGCAATACCCTCGAATTTTCTATATACTTAGATCTTGGGCAATTATCTGGTTCCCACATTATGTTCCTTTCTCCGTGGTGCTGAACGTTACGGATTATATATATATATATATCACCGATGATAACAGTGCTGCTACCGAGCGGGCGGGTACGGTAGGGGAAGAATCGGAGAGTGATATCATACCTCGGATGATAAACTGGGGATTATGGTATAATACCAACGCTGAAAGACTTACCCAGCCAGATGAAAATAAGCGTTAGACACGGTATATAATAATATAAACCATATAGGAAAGAAGGAAGGAAGGGAGGAAGGAATCCACGACTTTTTCTACACATTTGGTAAAAAAAAAGGAGGAAAAAAAAAAAGAGGGAAGATCCAATTGGGGGAGAGATGGAACGAACACTTCAGGATTCAAAACGTGTCCTTCTCAACACCCTCTTGCAATGATATGATACGAAGAATATATCGGCGCCTTCTACGAGTTCTTGCATCTGTCTGCGCATGCCGGTAGTGAGTTGGGTGGACGCGGTGCAGCACGATACAGTAGCAGTACGCTATCTTATATCCTTGCAAGGTATCATAGACGACGATCACATAAAAATATAATAAATAATACAGTATCATGTGTGTGCGCCGGTGTGGGTGGTTGTTGAAAATTGTGTCGGCCGTGTTGGAAATCGTGCTTGATCGAGCGGCGGTGTCAGTGATTGCTACGGAGGTTTTTACGGAACCGGAGAAGGACAGCGAGGAAAGAGATGGATAGAACCAAGTTGATCTTATTCGCAAAGAATGGAGTGAAAAGGCGAGAAGAAAAAACCAGAGAAAGGGGAGATGTGTATTCACGGTATGATAAAGAGAGAAGTGAGGGGATCGATCTTCATGGGTTGTTGAGGAAGGAAGGAGACAAAAGGAAAGAATGCAAGCATAAGGGGTAGACCTGTGTGCCAGGTATCAGAGGTAAGTTACATAAGCAGTTGTGTATACCTGTGAATGTTCCCAGCTCTTATACGTAATCGTTCTCATATATTCAACGGGTGGGCACGGCCAGTCCACGAGTGATTCCCTGTGAAAAAGGAATTCCGTGAGCTTGGTTGGGTTGCTGGGAGGTTATGGCTGTAACTGTAGAAATTGGGTAATTCAGGAGTGCGTTGATCCCCGCCGTACGGCACAAACCGCAAGAGCGGTCATTGGCATGGGCTATTCTAGTTGTGGCAGGAAAGAAAATAGAACGAAATGAAATAAACCCTTGTGGTTCCCGGCCCCCTCTTTCCATGATATCCCGACCCTCCGGAGAAAATTCACAACTCAGAGCTTCGCCCAGGATGGAACAACATGCGCGCCACCGTCTATCGGGAGCACCACCCCATTGATATGCTCGCCAGCTCGGGAGCACAGGAAGACGACGGAGCCCACAATATCTTCCGGCCTCCCAAGACGTCCATCGGGGCACGCCTTGCCCATACTTTCCTCACCTCCCAAGAGGGCGATAATCGCGTTGGCCATCTTGCTCGGGAAGAATCCGGGCGCAATAGCGTTGAGCAGGATACCCCGGGGACCAAGTTCGACAGCAAGGTGCTTGGTCAGGTGCTATAATATATACCCCACCGTCAGTCCAGAACGGCTCCCCCGGTATAAAAAAAAGAGCGTATAGCAAGCAAGGACACAAAACCAGAACCGCAGCCTTAGAGGCCGCATACCCATACGTCCCGCGTTCCCCAACCGCGCCGATTTGCAAACCCGCAATGCTCCCGACCGTGACAACCCTCGCCTTCTCACCGCTCCGCTTCACCGCTCCCTCCAGCAGCGGTGTGCACAACCGGATGAGATTGAAGACACTACGAACGTTCAGGTTCATGACCTTGTCGAACGCGGCGTCGGAGTGCGTGTCGAAGGGCGCGCCCCAGGTCGCGCCGGCGTTGGCTATGAGGATGTCGACCCTACCATCGGTCATGGTGGTGAGCCCCTTCACGAAGCGCTCAACCTCGGAGGGAGAGGAGAGGTCGGCGGGGAGGGAGAGGACGGTGGCTCCCGTCGAGAGGGATTGCAGCGATTTCACGGCGTCAGCGCAGGCGGAGGCGTTGCGTGAGGTTATCACCAGTTTGGAGCAGCCGGCCAGTAATAGCCTGTGTGCGCGCGCGTCAGTTATAGCTGGATACTCCGCAGCAGCCGGCTGGTGCGTGGTCATGATACCCTGTTGCCGCGTGCAATCCCAAACCTCTGGACCCCCCGGTGACCACGGCCGTCTTACCCGCGAGGGAGAAGAGGGAGGGGTAGTCTTGGATTTGCGACATTGCGATTGACGGAAGTGTTATCTCGGGGCTTCCCTATTATAAGAAGGACGGAGAAGAAAAAGCAAGCAGGAGGGGGAGGGGGGGAGGAGGAGGATCAGGACAAAAAGAGGGAGGGGGGTTGAAGTTTTATGCATCTGAGGTTAGCACGCGCTACCGAGGACCTCGTCCATTGAAAACTTAACCCCGATTCCTCCCGCTCACAACCCAAGCTTGGGGATTGTAAGTTTACCCGTTGGTGAGCCGGGGTATTCCACAGCAAGCTACGGTGCAAGCTACGGTGCCCAAGCATCCTAGGGGGCGATGCACACTCAACACGCTACCGCGGCAAGACCATTTTTGTCCGGCCCCTTATTGTGGGCGAGTTTTCTCGGGGCAGTATTTAGGCTACAGTAGCGTTTCGCCATGTTCTAGAGGGGTATTGTACCGAGTAACTTATAGCAAAGACGAGCTTGGATATCGTAGCCAAAGGCGTGCGAAATGGAACTATCGTATCATACATATATATATATAAAAGAAGCCAAATATCCGTGTCTAGACCGATTGATTTCACGAGGCATCCGTAGGTTTATCATCAGTTATGATACCAGGTACTTGTAACTTGGATAGCGTGGTCACCAGCGGGCAATATGCGGATGACCCGCACATCGTAACACTTACTGGCGATCCGTACCGTACGGGTCAATCACAAGACACAGAGCTCGAATGCCGCCCCTATCAGCTTTGGCAAGCCACCTTTTGTCAACCATAAAGGTCTCGCAGAGAGAGAGGTGGGCGCATCTCAGCTATTTGACCACGCTTTCACCCATAACCACCGAGGAATGCGAGTACTGTATCATACTGCACTGTACTCGTACGGTGTGATACGATACGGTACTGGCACGGCGCCGAGGCACGGTTGCACGTCAAACCCTCAGCCATCCATGCATGTCCCGGGAAGCGGACCGGGGCGGCATGAGATATTCAAAGACCCTTACAGTACGAGTACAGTACCTGGCACTCGAGCAGCTGTCCAGGCGGTGGCGGCCCATGGATGCTCAGTTCCCGATATGGCATTGACTTGAACGCCCTTGAGTCGCCTTGCCAACCTCCCTAAGCACAGTGCCGTGCCCTATCGTTCTTCCCCCGGGCCATCTGAATCGCCGGGGACAGATCTGGCGACGGTTATCCGAATCAGATCCTCAGTCCTTCCCGCCCTCAAACGGCCTAGCAGCGCTCCCGGGAGGCCCAAGGGATAGGTTAGTGCCTGAGTATGATATGATACCTTTTCTTCGACCCATTGCTATTGGCGTGGTTGAATGTCTACAACCTTACTCGTATCCTGCACCCCGGACCCCTCACCCCTCCTCCCAACTTAGCGCCGATATCACGTGGCCGTATCTCTCGTACTTGCACCATCGATGGGTCACAATGGGTGTGAAATGGGGTGCAAAAATACGAGTATACTCGAGTACATGCGTATTCTGTGATGATAGTGCCGGTATGATAATCTATTGTACGAGTACCATCGTACGGTACAGTACCCGGGTTAAGGTCCCTAGGCCATGCTGTCAATCCGGGACGGACATCAACATGGACCGAGGGCATTGCTATGGCAACCGAGAGGTTAGAAGCTGGGGTTACAGTGTGCGGGATGATGTAATAACCTTTTCAATCGCGGTATGATAGGTCTCGTCTGTAGTACTCGAGTACCGTAAAAACACCCATCATCATATCGTACCGGTATGATACCAGGTATCGGATTGCCGGCGGAAATCAGCTCCCCCAGTCCACCATGCGTGTAGCTCGGTGGCCTATCGGTCAATGAGATCCAACGAGTCCGGCGGACCAGTGTCGTCCCAGGTCGGAAAACGCTGCCTATCCTATAATACTCCTCACACACTCCTGCTCGGGAGATCCACAGGCTTCCACCCTCTGGACAGCTGTTACAGCCTTCTTGGAGAAAAGTATATATCACTTTCCCACACGCACACACCCCATTCCGCACGAGTACTTGTACCGTGCTCGAGCACCGGTGGTACTACTGCGGCGTCCGCCTCCATCCAATCCCATTCCAGCCAGACCAGGCCCCATCGCATAACCAGAAGAAGCCCCCGTGGGATGTATGATCAGCTGCGCTGCCCTTTCCTTCCCTTCCCTTTCGCTCCTCCCACCTAAAAAGAAAAACTATGACGGATCGTTTCTACATCCCCGTGACTTTCGCTAACAACTGCGGCAGATCACCCCCCAATCCAACGCTACCTGCCGTGGAGTGCAGGAATGCGCAAAAAGAAAAAAAAATACAGACACAATTCTTATCACTTCTTGCCCGCGTCGTGGGCTGCGATGGGGCACGTTTCTCGCAATTTACTGCAGTATCTGATGGCGATGACGGTTGCTGCTTCTGCCTGGGAAAAAGTGCATGTTATGTGTTTGTCCAACGTGCTCCATGCCCTGTCCCCTCGAGGTCGAATCTAGGGGAGCCGGACGGAACATAAATACCTCTCTCCGGCCTCCAACGCTTCCCCGGTTCACTGTTTGGGTAGGACCCTTGGAGAACGCTTTTGAGATACCGGTATTATACAAGGAGGGAAACATGTCTGCACCCACTACACCTGTCACGGGGCTTACGGTTCTCTCGCTCGGTAGATTTTCCTCCCCTCCCTCCCTCTTGCCATCCGCTATGGGCATGGTATCATAACCTGTATGCTCGGCGCTGACAATGTATGGCGGTGTCCGTATCATAGACGGCGGGGGAGTCCGCGGATACTCCAGCCTGCTCATACTCCGAGCCGTCATGCTAGAAATCAAGCGGACCAATAACCTCCAGGAGATACCGAAGCCGTGCGATTACTTTGACCTGGTAGCCGGTACAAGCACCGGAGGGTTCGTTCACTCACCACCAATCACTACGCAAACGGCAAGTATGATATATGCTAACGCAGCCAAAAGCCTGATAGCGCTAATGCTCTCCCGATTAGTCAGTCACTCTCCCCTCCCTGCCCTTCTCTCCCACCCTCCATCTCTCTAACTATTACTAATACAAAATGCAATATAAAAAAACAGAGAATGGACGTCGACTCCTGCATAATCAAGTACCAGAAAATGTCTGGCGACATCTTCAAGCGGCCCTGGCAATTCCCCGGAAAGCCCATTTGGGATGCCTACTTCAAAAAGCCCTGGTTCTCGGAGGAGAAGCTGAAGCAGAGCATAGAGAGCGTGGTGGAGCTGATGATAAGCCCACAAGAGAAATCCCTCCTGGAGTCTCGGGGCGTGAGATTCTCCGACGCCCCAATGGCGGACCCGGGTGTCATCCCCAGCGTGAACACCTGCAACGCGTACGACACCACCCCTCGGTGGAGGAGAACCCAACTGACAAGGAAGATAGCTTCGTCTGCGCCGTGAAAGTCGAAGACCTAACAACAGCTCTCTTAAGGACATACCCCCAACCAGCCACATCCTTAGCAGAAACCTGTCCAATATGGGCCGCCGGGCGTGCCACCTCCGCCGCACCCCTGTACTTCCCCCCCATGAAACTCGTCACCCCCCCCTCACCCGTGCCAACAGACTTCTTCGACGGCGGCATGAAGAATAACAACCCCATAGCTGAAGTCAAGGACGAGGTGTTCCTCGCGCACCGCGTCGAGTCCCCGCGATGCGTGCTGTCCATCGGGACGGGATACCTAACCAACGCTACGGGTGATCGGGGCTTCTGGACTCGCCTCGCCAAGTGGGCCACCGGCGGGTTTGGATACATGGGCTGGACACTGCTGCAGCTCGCGACGAACACCCAGGCGAGGCATCTGGAGATCTTACGAGAGGGAAAGTATGCCCGTTTCCGCGAGAATTATGTCAGGCTCAATGTACCCGGGAAATTAGCCAATGTGGGGATCGAGAGGTGGGATAAGATGGAGGAGATGAGGCATCTGACTGAGGCTTACCTGGCGACGGAGGAGGCTAGGGCTGAGATTCGCAGGTGTGTCGAGATGTTGAGGGCTGGAAGGAACTTTGGGATGTAGTTTTTTTATATATTTATATTTATTTTCTCCCCTTCTTGGCCTGCTTATAACGCCATTTACGGGGAAGCCGCTCACCCATGGCAACCAGCGGAAAATCAAACACATCTTTGATTATCTTAATGAATAATTGTGAGACCACCTTGAAATTTTATCTGTAAGTGCCTTGGAATATGAAGAACTGGAATATGTAAACTGTATCTTATAATTATGAACTGTTCCTCTTATGCAGAGTTTTTAATATTGTTTCTTTTTGAACAAAACTACTACTAGGATTTCTCAGGATACAGAAATTCAAAAATATACAGGAAATACCTTTATAAGCAGATTGAGTGATTGAATAAGCCTTATAAGCTCATGGCTAATAGCTATCCAGTTTGTTTATAGCCAATTTTTAATATTGCAGTACCCAGTAGGAACCAATAGAAAGTAAGCAAACTGTCTAAAGTCTTTAGACCCTTTCTAATGGTTTTTCCAACAGTTTAATGAGTATGTTAAATAATTTAAATATATATTCAATCAGAGGACGTAATTACTAGTATATTAATTATCAGAAGGGTTGTCTATTGTAATTAAGGGATTTTAATTATACTATATTTCAATAGGAGACTAACCTTTAACTGTAGATGATATACTAGTATTCTAGTCTCCCAATCAGAGCAAGCTTATTAGCAGGTTTTTAGAAAAGTTAATATCAATAGTACTAATTATTTCAAGCTAGTATAATAATAGCTTAAAGTTATTGATTTACTTTTTTTTTTTTTTTTAAAAAAAAAAAAAAGGAACTCAAAGTAACAACAATATGAGATAGGATGTATAAAAATTCTCTGTACATAATACTTTAAAACTCTGTACACTTTTGTAAACAGTCATCACAATATAAATTCCAAAAGGTTACAGTTGTATCATTGGCCATGATGGTAAGTCATCCTATTTTCAAATATATAAAATTTGTATGTTACTAGTTTGCTTACTTTTTATTAGTTCTTACTGGGTGTTGTAATACTAAAAATTGGCTATAAACACACTGGATAATCACTGATCCTGAGCTTGTAAGGCCTATTCAATCTCTAAATCCACTTATAAAGGTATCATACTTTCTGTATGCTTTTGAGTTTTTACATCCTAGGAACTTGAAATCCTGGCAGTTTTATTTGAAAGAAATAATATTAAAAACTCTGCACAAAAAGAACAGTTCATAATTATGAAATACAGCTTTACATATTCCAGTTCTCCATGTTCCAAAGCACTTGCAGATACAATTTCAAGGTGGTCTCGCAATCATTAATTGAGATAGTCTAATCAAAGATTTGTTTGATTTTTCCACTGGTTGTCATGGGTGAGCGGTTTCTCGGTAAATGACGTTAAGCTTTTATCAGATTCTTATGTTATTTCTATTTTTCTGTTTTTTTTTCCCTTCTATTCGGGGTTGCTGCGCTGGGCTGGGCTTCCTTGCGCTCTACGGTCATTCCCTTGAGGTCTAGGAGGCCCGGCGTCGAGGATGTAAGACCAGATGTTGTAGCCGTACCAGCCCAGCCTTCTAGGTTGTGGTCGGATAAGCGGATCGTTGGGCGCTTCAAGGAGCATCAAGCTTGTAGGGATGGGGGTGGGATATCAGTTATTATCTCTGCGCAGGAACCCTCTGAAAGGGAGTGAAGAAAAAAAGCATGAATACATACAATTTACGAATGGCCATCCCTGCCCATTTCAAAAGTAGAATGAAGGGTTTGATCGTATGTAGCGCCGTCAGGAATCAGACCTGACTTGAGAACCTCGCGGAGCATGGTTGTTGTCTTGACGGGATGGAATATTTTTTTAATGAACCCACTAGCGTTCGGTCGGCATCTAGCAAAGGGGAATAGTCTCGCCGTTATCTCGTTCCATTCATCCTCGCTATTCCAGCCCTCAACCGTAGGATCCGATGTATCGAGGATGAAACAATTGAGCAGGAGAAAGAGGCAAATGTGTTGAAGTCCATCGCCTTGCAAGCCTCATACGGTAGATGACATTCTTCCACGCGACGACCGCTATAGCAAGCACCCATCTGGCTCTGTTGTCCATCCGCGCTTAGGTATTTATCATATCTCGCCAGGAGGCCGGCCGGCTGGGAGCAAGCCCTCTCTCCCCACAACGCCCATCTTCAGATTCCTCCTCTACCAGTTGCTGTGCTGGATGCCAGCCAATCAATCAATGTTCAAGACTTTCCTCATTGTTCGTCTTTTCGAATGCCATTTATTGTGTGAAAGCGCAAGTCTACCGTTTGTAATGAATGATACCTCCCTCACCTTAACACCAAGTCCGATCCGAGCCCGGTCACAGATTGCCGGAAATTCCAGTAGACACCGTGCGTAATACCACTAGGTCGGTACCACGAGTACAGTACTGTACACTCAACGGCGAAATCATGGATGGTCACTCGGCTATCCAATCGGCCCACGAGATGATCAAAACCCTCCCCTCTTCTTCAAAAGATGCAAGGAAAGAAAAAAAAAAGCGCAAAATGGGAGCCCTCTCCATCCATAGTAGACACTCGTGGCTTATATACTTCCGCCCATAAAGTGCATCAAATACAGTGCTCCTAACCACTCTCCTCCCTCAGCCAAGCTGGAAACAAGCTAACCCCGCTTCCACTCCTCTCTACCAAGCCGGCGCACGCGCCTCCTCTAAAACTTCCGACAAACCCAACATCTCCATAGATCGTTCTCCCTACCACATCATTCTCATCCCACTTCCTGTGTCTCAGTACCCCAACAGCTTTGACACCGCCAGCTTGCGTCATCAGGGCTCTAGTATCAAACCAAACAACCGACTCCTCGCTCCCCCCGCGTGAGAAGGTAACCATCAGTCTCTTCCCGCTTGGGTCCAGTGCCATGTTCTCCACAACACCGCCGTAGGCGCCCTCCCTGGGTTCCGGAGGCGCGGCGGTATCATCAAAGACAAGGTGGTCGGTATTGACGCATGTGCTGTAAATGGGTACGTAAGGATCCAAACACGGGGGCTCACATAGGAGGTTATTGCCGAGCGACCTGATTTTTCCGAGGATGGTCGGGATTAATGGTGGCTGCTGTTGCCGGGGCTGCGGACGGTGCGGTATTGAGGAGTTTTTTGCTTTCGTCGGGGTGCTGGGGGGGCTAACAGCTCTGAGCACTGACTTTCGTTTCAGACGGAAGATGTGGATCCCCGAGGCCCCAAAGAAGGATATGATGAGGGTTGGATATTGTGGGCGCGTGTCTCTAGGGAGGCCAGGGGGGGAGGTTTGCTTGAACGTAGGAACTAGAATTAGATTTCTGATGCCGAGGGGGCGCTGTTTCTGGTGAAGGGTGGTGAGCTTTGCTGGATAAAATTCTATCGGTTGAGCCGTGATCTCGGAGCAACTACCAGAGCTGGAAAAGTTCAAATACACCACCAGCCCACTCTTCATACCTACCACGATCGCGGCTTTCTCATTAGCATCCATCCCCTCTCCCGGCTCCATCTCCCAGGAAACACAATTGACACTCGTCCCCGCAGCCTGATATAACCTCTCGGCAGTTCCCCAAGTAATGCTATACACCCAAACCCCACCCAGCGAGGTCCCCACAAGCACGTGCTCCCCCCGCGGGGAGAAAGTAAGGGTAGTAACCCCACCAACAAGACTCCTCATCCTCCCAAACCCCTGCTGCAAAAGCCCAATCCTCTGGGACTTTGCGCAAACTTTGTCTGGATCCCCCAGCAACCTCTGGGTCTCGGGCGAAGCTTTGGTCTTGAAGAACCCGTGCGGAAGAAACATCCTCGGCGGCCTGGACGGCGTCGGCGATACCTGGAAATCATAAGGCGTGGAAAACAGAAAAATCCCATTCTCGAAGGAACCCGGAAAAGCGGTGGAATTCGACAGGTCAATGTACCAGAGGTCGAAGTATCCAGAATCCAATCCCACCGCCAAGGAATTGGTACTCCCGCCGCCGAACGCCAGCGCAGTTATCCGCACAAATTCCGGTGACATAGGATCGGTGGTGTTGCATGCGCAGAGAAAGTGCGGGAGGAACACGTTAGCCTTCATGTCGAAGAAGTGAACCCTAGAAAACGACGTCGCGAGCGCCATTATGCTCGCAGTGCGGTGAAAGGCCATGTGCGTTATCTTCTCGCCTTCCGCCCCGTCACCGTCTTGAGATCTGGACTCGGATTCGCCGGCTCCAAACAACCTCCCCCTCTGCTCCCCCGGAGCATCTCCGACAGTGGCGGTCCGGAAAGGATAATCATGTGCACCGGCAACAGACGACGCATCCCACTTCACAGCCCTCCACATGGCATCCCTGATCCTCCTGGCAACTATATCAGAAGGCACATCCCTAAGATCATCCACCATTACCCTCTTGGACTCCCTCAACACCGCGGCCGGGAATGCGAATACACTTTCTGGGCTCCAACTAGCCGTACCAGTAGCCTCCTTCCTCCTCCTCAACTCTACTTCCGCAGGATGCTCCTTCGCTAGATAGGCTCTCCTCCGATCATACTTCGGAGGAAACGTATCAAGGGAAATGAACGGGGATGGCAAATGGATTCCGGTGTTATCGACTGAATGGGGATCTTTTCGAGTGCTCGTCAGCCATGGGTTCGTGGTATATTTTCTCGTAGGGGTAATAAGTAGGTTACAGAATACGCCTCCAGCCTCTTGAGTGGTGGAAGTATGGGGATAGCTAAGACCCTTGAAGTATACATTCGACGGCATAACGATTTCCACTAACGCGGGTAGCAGCGGAATGATTCTCTGGTTTAGTTTTTAGAAAGGTGGAGGTGATTGGTTTGTTGGTTGGTTGGTGGTAGTATGTGAGAGGCCGGGAGTGGACGCTTTTGAGCAGGTTTGTGAACAAAGAGGCACTTTCGAAAATTTAGTCGAAGGAAATCAAGACAAAACTAGGGAACTTGGGTTCTAGGTTACGTTTTGAGATTTGAAAAAGCCTAAAGTATCATCTTATAATAATAATATTATGATACTTATAAACGACGCCAATTCTCTATGATAATCAAGTAATATATATACCTGAAACGCCTAGATACATGCCGGTGAATAGAAAAGAGGTCCATGGATGCCTAAGTCTTTTGAAAAACAAAGCTAACCTCCTTCGCCGCTCCATTCCTAATAACCTTCGCCAGAACCTCATCTTCAATACTAACTTCATCGTATTCCTCTTCACCTTCCCCTTCCTCATCCCTCTTTTCGTTGCCCAAAAGACGAGTGGTCAAAATGTGCGAGTATTCCATCAGAGAACTAAGCTGGTTCCTGTCCACGCCGACACCTCTACCCTTTTGCATTGCCTTCTTGCGGTCCTCTTCGACTTTTTCAAAGTCGACTTCACTGGCTTTCATCAACCCAGGATACTTTGGCTCATCCTCTTCATCGCTATCTTCTTTCTCCTCCTCGCTATGCTCGAAAAACGGCGACTTGGTTTCCGCAACCCCAGAAACGTAGCCTTTGCCCTCACATTCACAGCATAGTAGATCATGCGTGAGACAGTTAGTCTCTGTATCGAGGGAGAATAGATCCCTTAATTCCTCTCGAGTAAAACTACTCGCGGTAGCCTTCTGGTCCATGACTGAGTCCGCCAGGCCAGTCTTTGTGAGCTGTCTTTGATATATCTTTTCGTCAAAGCACCCAGTGCTTTGCTCAAAACAAAATTAGTTCACCAAACAGCAAATAACCGTAGGGTGCAGCTCACGTAAGCATCCTATAAATCTTAACCTCCCTCCTTTGACCATCTCTATGGATTCTCGCCATCGCCTGGGCATCCGTAGCCGGATTCCAGTCCAAATCAAACAGGACAAGCCTAGAAGCTCCAATCAAGTTAAGGCCCGCACCGCCACTCTTGGCAGATAGCAGGAACGCAACTTTACTCCACATTAGCCCCCTATTCCATACAACAATCTAGGGGCGAAGCCTTACAGGCAGCAGTACTATTAGTCCGATTAAATTGGTCAACAAGCTCCTGTCTTTTATTAGTCGGCGTGGCACCGTCAAGCCTCAAGTAGCTAAGGCCTCTAGAGCGGAGGAGGTTCTGCAGCAAATCGAGTGTAGAAGTATAATTCGATACCAGCACAATCTTCTCGTCGGTGGTATTCTTCAAGGCCAGGAGCAGGCGCTCAAGAACCCTGAACTTCCCGCTGTGCGAGTCGCTCTTGGATTCGAGTAACTTGGGGTTGACACCCGCCAAGAGGCCTTTGATGTTCTCGTTCTTTGATACACTTCCGTCAACGCCCTGTTATGCAAAACAGTGAAGTGTTCTTACAGTTTCCTTCCCCGGTCTATCAGCCAACAGCCCCGGCGAATTGCAAAGCTTCTTGAGAACAGTGATAAGTAGAAGAGAGGCATCAGGAGACCCCAAGCATCTGCTAAAAGCAGAAGACTCCAGAATACTCTTGTAGACCTTAAGTTGCCTTGGGGTTGGTCTACAAAAGACTACGTACTCCGCTATTCATTCGTTAGCAATCACACCCTCAGATCAACCCTCAGATTACCTACTCTTAGGTGGAAGATACGTTGACAATATCTCTGCGGTCCTACGGAGCACAAACAACTTTGTCAAACGGGCAAGCTATTTACCTCGTTAGCGACAGACCACGATAGCAAGATCATTGGAGCAACTACCTCTTCATTCCGCGCCTTCCCTTTCTCAACATCCTTCTTCGAAGCGCCAGGTTGCCGGCTTCGAACAATCGGGTTCTCAAACTCCTTCCTGAAAGTCGAGTAACTCTCAAGCAGTCCAGGATTGACAAAGTCCCTGATAAATGGATCCAAAAATTAGCAATCATTCAAGGTATCATATCCAACATTGGAGCACGACTCACACCATGATGAAATACTCATGAAGATCATTCTGCAGCGGCGTACCGCTAAGAATGACCCTCCTCTTAGTCTTCAATCCCCGGATAGCCTGCGCAGACTTATTCTTCTCAGTCTTGAGCCTGTGCCCCTCATCGGCAATGACAATGTCAACATCTGCAGTTTGTAACTCCTGCTGAACTTTTTGTAGCTAGAATGAGAAGGATTTAGGAACGGCACCAGAAAAACGTGATTCAAACCGACAGACCTTCTCGTAGCCAATTACCATGACAGAATAGCTCCTCCCACGGGTAAAGTCCCTAATGTTCGCTTTCGAATCGGCCACAAGCACGCCGATCCGCTCTCTACCCAACCACTTCCGGAACTCTTTACTCCAATTGTTGATCAATGTCACAGGACATACAATAAGTGCTCGTTTAATCACCGGTTTATCGCCATAAATCGGATTTTGTTCTACATCAATTAGCACCCGCACCCCTATACATCACGAACCCCCACTCACTCAACAGAGTCCATAAGAGCGCACTGAAAACACCAGGTTAGCACGCTCATCATCGCAGAACCCCACTCCCCAGATTGACACGGGACCAACATAGTCTGCAAAGTCTTCCCCAGCCCCATCTCGTCCGCCAGAATCGCCCCCCGTCCATCGAACGGCTTAAGTCCCATCACAGCCTCATACAAAAACATCACTCCCTCCCTCTGGTGCGGCCGCAGACTGCGCGAAATGAACGGGTCGACAACCACGTCCACGATGGATTTTCCGGCTGGTACACTCTTCTCGCTGGGACGGGTCAGGACGAGAGCACCTTCCGCTTTAGGGTCGTGTCTAGGTGCCGGTACTTTCGAATAGGCCTTTTCCATAACAGTGGAATTGAGGAGTGGGGTCTTGAACTTGCTACCGAAAAAACTCCCTGGCGCTACGGCTGTGAACGACTCCCTCTGCGGTGCCGTCGATGCTTTGGTTGACGAAGGAGGCGGAGCAGCATTCTTCAGAAACGGTCTGCCGGCAAGGTACTCTTCCCTCGAAAGCACGGAATCGACCTCAATCTCCTTCCCGGCGATGAAGGTGGTCGAACCAACTTCGAGGGTTCGTTTGAACATTGTTCTCCCGAGACTGCCGTCACTATTGTCAGACCACCCCATACCAAGCAAGATGGATAGATAGATAGACAACAAACATACTCCTTCCCACTAGTATCCTGAAGCACAGCATACCCCCCACCAATCACCAAGACCCCATCGCCATCAAACGTCTTATGCTTCTTCGTCGTCGGTTTCCTCCAAAGCACACCAAAATAAGCCTCCTCCGCCGTACCCTCCTCCCCCGCCGTCACCGCAACCCCCAGCTGCGGATTCCCAACGAGAAGTAACGGCTTCCTCTTAATCGGTCCGCCAAGCTTCAACGATCTCCCACCACCGCGGGGCTCAATCCTCGCACGCTTCGCCGGAGGCTGATCATCCGTACCTGCTGTCGCCACCGGTGCCGGCTTCTTCAAAAGCGGAGGCACAAACTTCTTTCCACCAAACATCCTTCGTCTACGTGTATTTGTGTGAGTGCGTCGGTGATGGAGGGAATGGGGAAGTTTTGGGGAAGACGCGTTTGGAGCTGACAACGCAGTTTTCGCGCGTCAGTTCGGCAAGTTACGGTGCTGGATCAGTTATCTGGGGTTAAGCAACCGAACATATCCCCCGGTCCCGGTTACCGTTATGGTTTTCCCACCTTTGCACCGGCAAGCCAAGGCAAATTAAGCGCCATGATTTTTGCGAGGTGGTCTAGTAAACCAAATTTCAATACTCGTACAAAGATGGGATGGGACAGCATTCCCCGCCTGGGTTTGTGATCGGGTCGACACAAGCGCCGGTGCCGGCGCTCAGTTACCATCGTAGACCCGAGTAAAGACGACATTACTCGCCTGACGGCCCCTCTGATGCCATGACGATGAGTATATCATGCGGTGCCCTGCAATTCCGAGGACCGCGTGCGAGTGACTGCCAATGAACAGCCCCTCGTGATAACGGTATACCTGTATTCTCAGTACCGGTACCTGTCTATTCTCGACCGCCCATCGGTCAGGACTGGGCAGAGGCAGCCCGAACACACCTTGCGTCCGAAACCTGTGCACAAAAGAAGCCAAAAAAAAACACAGAAACGAAAGAGAATCCGCGGGCCAGAGGGATCCTATCTTGCGTAGCTACAATAACAACCTCCTTCAATCATAATATTAATTCTTCGTGAAGCAGTAGAAACCTATCGAGTGATCCTCAATGATTTCAGAGATATTGCTATTTTGTACATTTATTTTACAATCCCTCTATCATTAGTAGGGGTGGGCAGAGGGGGGGGAATATGAAAGAAAGTATCATAAAGGAATGAAGAAAGGTATTCCAGGCCCTGTTTGGTACGCCACAAAAACTGGGCTTTTCCCACTTACCCTCAGCATTTCCAGCATTTCCAGTTGAATTGCTGAGAATGAGTGGAATGAACTCAGCTTTTGTAGCGTGCCAAACAGGGTCTTGGCCTCTCGCCCCAACCCGAGTCCGATAAGAACGGGAAAATCACTAACGTCTCATGAACAAGAACAAAGTTTTCAACAAGAAATGACCCACAAATGCATGACCCAAGGAGAGCGAAAACGGGGGAAATTCCAAATGATGGGAAAGAAAAGAAGAGCAAACCTGGTATCATCTGCAAGCCTTTAAGGGGGAGGAGAAGAAGAAAAAAGAAAAAAGCCATACCGTAAAGCAACGCCATTTGGGACCAGTAGAAAAGAGGGAGGGGAAAAAAGGCCATCAAGTACAAACAGCCCGCTAAACCCAGGGATAGAAATGAAAAGCCACGCTTAGGCCGGAACCCGTAAAAAATGCAACCCAACCAGCAAACACCAAGAATGCACATTCAAAATCAATACGGCCATCACAAGCGCCATTTTCCACGAAAAACAGAGACAATCTCTTGCTCCGCGGGCCTAAAAATACAAAGACCTGCCCTGCTCGCTCAAAGAAAAAGTGACGCCGAGCTGTTGAACGGCCTCAAGCCCTCGGATGCTCCGGAGAATATCCTCAGGGACATCGACATCGTCTAATAGGGTATCCTTGACGTGCGTGATAACCAAGTGTAAACCCCGAAGCGGAGTAGGTCCTAAATCGGATGTTTCATCCCTCACGCCCCCTTGGGGAGCCCTTTCCTCAGGCGTGCGCTGGCCCACAGCCAAATCTATCGTGTCGAAAAAGTCAACAGCTTTAGGATCCACAGCCCTAGGTGAAATTTCCGGAGAAAATCTATCGAAGGTATTCCTAGAATCAACCTCCAAGTGATTTTTGTTCCAGCGGTTGTTCCCACGGGTTCCATTTACTTCATCCTCTTGAGCGTTAGGTCCATGGAAATGTCGTGATTCCTCCAGGATCTTTGGTGGGGCATTCGGATTTTCAATCCTCCGCGCCATGATTTCCGGGTCATCATTGTGGTAACCATAGCTCATCCGCTTTCGCTTCAGTCTCCCCCGCTTTTCGATCTCATCCGCTCTCCTCAGGCTCACAACTATTCTTGCCAAAGACCTCATTTCATCCATCAGGTGCGGTGGAGATAGATGCCCATAGAGGGCCTCATCGGGCTGATTACAACCGTAGCTGCACTCAATGAAAATGGTGTTTAGTACTCCTTGATGGAACTTTGCAGCTGCATGGCTCCAAGCAGGGTGGTTCCTTGGCGACAACGATATCGAATCTATGGCATGAAGCAAACATTAGAAAATAGAACAGGCTGGTGGGAGTCGCAGAGCAAACAGAGCGCCGCAAATCCCCACGGGCGAAGGAAACAGACCGGGCTCAACGTCTCCCCACATCATCACCTCCCTCTGTGTCGCGTCATCTCGAATGAAGTAGACTGTCGAATCGTAAACACACATCCTCTTTCGAGAACCACCTGGGCCCCTATCCGTTGTCGCACCATCCTTTCCCTGATAAGTCTGGCTCCCCCGGTGATAGTGACTCTTCATACAGTGTCCATGAGAAACTGGCCACGCCTGGGCGCTCAAGCCGTTGCAAACCTCCACGTACTCCAAAGCAGCCTCCGGTAAACGCTGGTAAGTGACCAAGCCAACGCCGCACTCCTCATCCGATAAATTCGGCCAAATGATATCATTGAATATATGAGTTTTGATAGCTTCTATGGTCGAAGGGAGAGCAGCTAAACGCTTCGGACACTCCGTTTGAGTGAAGCAGGCCGTGTTGATAACAAATCCGGAAAGATGGTCCAAATGCGGATGAGTTATCAAGTAGGTGGAGACAAGTTCTCGAGTGACATATGCTGCATTACCACGGGGTGTATCATATGGGAGGTTTGCCCCACAAAAGGGGAATGGCCTCTTCGTTATCGACCTATTTCCAGAAGCATTCTCGGAGACCGACGCAATGGGCTCCTCCATAGGGGATGACCGGGAGGAATGCTCTTCAAGAATCCGTATGATCCCAGCCATATGGGTCCCCGCATCCACAGCCAGTATTGAGCCTTTAGCCCAGGCTGTTGCAGTAGATCGAATAAGGTATCCAGAGACGTTTCCCTCGCTTGGGCCTCCCGCAGATCCCTGCAGATACCCGGTGACGGCTACAGTTAGAATTGATGTTGGATGAAAAGACTTACAGATCCATACAGGACGAAGGACAAGATTTTGAAGATTACTCACTAGCACGATGATCTGGAAAGCGGGAGAACCGTCGTCGGTACTTGAAACCGCCAGCTTGTATAGCTAATAATAATCGTTTCTCGTAAAAATATATATATTTATGTCGAGATAGTCACCAGACAATTGTTGGCTACCTGTATTGGGTACGGAGAGTTTCTCCTTTTTTTTTTAAAAAAAAATGATTTGCTGGTCTTTCTAACTTATGCTTTTCCGTCTTGATTCTGCTTTGTATTTCCCTTTTCGGCACCGCCGCAAGAGGTCAGATCGAAAAGAAGAAATATATTTGTAAGATGTGTGAACCGTAGGTGGGCTTCACACTGCGGAGACCCGAGATTCGTGACCTTTGTCTGCAGTGAGATTAACCTGGTTGTCTGGGGCAGAGGTTTGTGATAGGGTTTTGTTCCGAAGAAGGAAAATCAAAAGAAGCAAAGAAAAATCAGACCAGGCACAGTAGGCGTTAAAGGCGAAAGGAGAGAGGCGCTGCAAAAGAACGGGTGGTGGGCAGAGAACAAAGAAGTCCACACGGGGGGGTGAGTAGGAGGAGCTTAGGAAAAGCACACGCGGTCCGTTAGAGGTGAGATCCTGAAAGGGCGGAAGAAAAAAAAAAGAGGTTAATTTCAAGAACCTTTGGTACTTGTGGGAGGGCCGCAAGAACTTGGAGGGCAGGAACGTAATGAGCAGTCCGTGATCCGAGAACTCGCTCGAAGGCGGCAGCGGTGGCCGGGGAAGAGAGCGGCGGTTCTTCCAGTCCCGGGCCGTGCTGCGGTGAGGTCCTTCCAATTTTTCCTCCCCTCTCCTCTGTTCTATTGCGCTGCGGGAGTGGTGGTCGTATTTTCTGCAGTAAAGCGGGTTCCAGGTGAGGCAGAAGCAGAGTCGGCAACCATCTACCGTATTGGTTCGAATTGCTGAATGCGAGTTCGAAGTGGCACCGCAGCTGACTGAGATGAAATCGAAGAGAGCCCAGAAAAGATTAAGGAGAGAAATATGATCGAATCAGGGGGGGGCTGACTTAGTTAAACAACGGTTGAGTGAGAGGAGGCTCTTTCCCCCTTCGACCTCGTTGACAAAGCGATGACGACGGTCACAAGGAATGAAGAGAAAAGGGGAGAGAAGGGGGGGACGTGATGCAAGGGAAGGGTAGGAATGAATGAACCAGAGATATATATAGATAGAGGAGGAGGGGGTGGTGGAGGTGGTGGAGGAGGTGGAGGAGGAGGAGGAGGAGGAGGAGGAGGTTGTGGTGGTGGTGGTGGTGGTGGTGGTGGTTAATAATAATAAGAAGGAAGTCACCACAGGACCCGAAGGGGGGTTCAGTAACTGATTAAAGCTAGTAGCAATATGGCACTGTAGCAGCAAAGGGGAGAGCGGGAGTACTCGAGTACCGTAGCAGTTAGGACTCGCAGCTAGATCAAGGAACTGCCGTGCAGTATCGTAGGGAGAGGGCACACGAGTGGAGTAACGAGGGGAAGGAACTATATACGGTAGATATCGAATCTTTTCGCCCCCCTCTCGATACTGAAACGGGACTGGCCCAGGGAACGTTTTGAGCGCGTACAGGCAGTGCGCGAAGTTGGGGGCGACATCGCTAAAACGACCATTCACGAACATCACGCAAGATCCGGTGCTTGAACACGAACTCTACGGATTCCCCCCATTTCTACATGAAGAAACGGGGGGGGGGGGAATCCAACCACAACACCGGTATGGTAGCCCCCCCCTCCACTCCATCACTCTCCCCAAAACCAAATTCCACCACTACTATCACCACCACTATCCTCGTCACGATCACGCATCACGTATCACGCATCATCCCCGCCTACCGTATTCACCCAAGATACCATCACTCCCTCGCTCCACCATAACCACCGATAAGCCGCCACCGCAGCGAGCACCGTCCTCGTATGATGTGAATCGGTGCGACACCTTCTCCACCTATTAGGGAGCAAGCTACACTGAACTGGGGAGGCGGTTCCATTAGAGTAGGCATGTCTGTACCACCGCCAAAGGCTCAGATTTCCCCGAGGGAGAATGATACTGTGATGATAATGTGCTCGTGAGAGCACCGTATCGCGCCATACACCACCCATCCTTTTTCCCCTCGCTGCGGAACCGGAGACCCATGACAAGTAATCGGAGTACAAAGTGTCCATTCGACCCGGTGCTGGAGGAGCGACCTCCCATTCGAAACGAAGATCCCTCGAAACAACTGTGGTGGAGTAATCTACCGGTACGGTACTGTACCGCGCAAATGATCCTCCTCTCCCCCCCCCTCCCCTGCGCGCAGAAGGGTAAAGAGACAACCCTCCCACCGCTACTCCGGTGATGCGGTTTTATTGTCTAAGAAATAAAATAAAAAACAAGAGCTCTCCCATTTTTATTTATTTATGTATTTAAATTATTATTTTTTTCCTTCCTCAAGCAAAGCGGAAATACCGGTGGAGCGATTTCAGTAACCAGTTAGGTGGAAAACCCAGGAATCCGCGACAAGTTGTATCTCACATGCATCGCCCCCAGTCAACTTTGACATTCCGATCCCAGATAGAGGTATCATATATCAGACTAGTCCCCGAAAGGCATCCTTCCAGAAGCCTTCCATTTGCATGGAAACGGGGTGGATGTTTAGGCTGTGTAACACAGCTAAAACCAACTTAAACCTCCTGCCGCCTCTCTCTCTCCCGGGAAAAAAATGATAACGACAATAATACCGTAAAAAGTAGATTGCTACCCCTGCATTCGCATCCCATCCTTTCCCCTCCCCTACCGGTACCGTACCGTAAATCTGCTTCTGCTCGACATGCCCTCTCTGCAGGAGATATGAGACACGAGCACTAGTCTAGTATGCTACCCATCGCACAATTATGATACCTACGATACTCGTACCCTACCCACTGCCGGCCGGAATCTTCCATCCACCCACCGCCGCCGCCCTCAAGGCAACTCTCGACATCATGATCCTTATCATAGCTCGCATCAAGCTCCCTTTTCTTCCTCCTTCCGGAATCGGCAGCATTACAGTAGAAGTTACTCGAGCAACTCGCAACCAGCGTGAACGTCTACTATCACTAAAAAAAGACTGGCCCATGAAATGACCCTATCTAACGACCGGGGCTAACGGTAGCAACAACCCAATCATGAGCAGGTTCGATCTCTTCTTTTTTCCGTCGCCTCTTGCTTTGTTTCCAACCACCGGCACCGCACCATTGATGGATATACCTATAAAAGGGTTATATTAACAGCACGCCTGCATTGTGGGGCGTGAGACCAAGCAGAATAGATCTAACGAATTAGGAACAAGACAGAACAAAAATAAAAATAAAAAGAGTAAACGAATTGAGCCCGTCGGACAATTCTATTAAATCGCTCAGTTGAGAGGGAGGAAAAAAGGAAGCATCGCATGTGGGGAGAGAGTGCCGCAGGAGGGCGGGAAGCAAACGGTGATTCTCGGCGAGTAACAACCCACCAACGATTGTCCCGCCTACCGTACGGTGCAATACCCTGAATAGGCCTCACAGAGGGGGTTTAGTCGTTCGGAAGGGAGAGGAAGGCAGATCTTCACCTTGGAGTATGGCATGTCACATTACATGGAGCGTCGTGCTCTCCCCGAGTGCACCTGTAGTGCACTTTACTTGCACTTGTGCGGTGCAGCACTGGTATGGGTATACACACGGACAGGCGGTATTTGGATCACTGCAGTCTCCCCAAAGGCACTATCGGTATTACCGTACCACACCACACTCCACTTCACTCCATCACCATGGAACCGTACACTTCCCACAAAACAACAGGACGGTATCATACACACCCTCCAACCCCCTCCCCCTCCCCCTCCCGGACCACCAATCACCTAACCACCACCACACCTTACCCACCTGCCAATCACGCCAATCCCCCCACCCCGGTTCCCCCCCCCCCCCCAGCACATTCGATACCCGTCCCACCCCACGCACGATCCAGTATCGTACTCGAGTATGATACCAAACTTGCACTCCCAGCCTGAGCCTACCCTACCCTACCCTACGGACCCATCACATCGTGATACAAACCCCCCTCCCCCCCCTTCCATCCATGATCCCTCCCACCCTTCCATCCTCCCTTCTAGAACACCTCAGAACCTTCCTTTTTACTTTTTCCCATATTTCTACCTTTCGTCCTTCCCCATGCACCCTTGCCATCTTACATACCGCACCATACACAAGGGCACGGTACGACAATGTAATACCCCGACCATACCGTAAGCTCCCGGTCCTCGCACAGAGATGTGCATATAGGCTACCGTACGAGCATCCATCATATGTCAATCAATCAGTCAATCAGTCAGCCAGCCAGTCAGCCAGTCAGCACAAAACCACAACAAGGAAATTAAGCTTTTTAAACTTTCCTGTCCGCAACACACCCTCACACACTCACATACTCTCTCTTTTTTCTCTCTCTATAGATCCGACGGGGCTTACCTTACCTTGCTCACCACACCAGAACTAATTGGATATCAACCGGGGTGTCTACTTCCCGGTCGGTCGTGAGCCAGGGCATCTACCATACTGCAATCACCGCGATCCGTGATGCGGGATGGGTTAGTTGCGTTTTAGCATCGTGCGGTATGATACTGTACATCCAAGCACTTGTGCTTTGCTTTACTGTGCTGTACCCGCCACTGCAGGTTAATATTATTGTTACAGGATCCGACCGACTGACCGACCGATGGACTTACAACTGAAGGGACGGATGAACTGCTGCTGCTGCTGCTACTGCCTTGCACGGCGGGAATCCCCGGGTGCTCCCAGTCATGTACGGCGTGATATTGCACCGTGCATCTGCTACGAGTACGATATGAGAAGGGGAAGGGGGAAGCGGGGGGGGTTCGGCATGTGATGATAAGACTATAATACGGTGTAAGGACTAGTCCCGGTCCTTTGGATAATCGTGGGAGTTTTGAACTTTGGGGTTAGATTGCCCGGCCGTGGCCGGGCTAGGAAGACTGGGCGTGAGTTTGTCTATCGGTCTGTAGAGTACTCGAGTAGTCTATCGTACGTTCGCCTTGTCTGAGCATGCTGTGCTCCATATCACCCGCGGTCTAAGGTATTATATGATGGTTTGGCCTGACCTCGCTATACCGGCATCGCCTCCTGGAACCGCCTTTTCCTCTTCTTGCTTGCTTGCTTGCTTGCTGCTACTGGCACGCCCACTAACTTATTGTTTACGAGATAAATAAATGAACAAAACCCTGGGTCTACCCATTGCATAATAAGCTGCGCGGCATTCTTCGACCATATCATACAAAGTGGGTAGAGGAAACTGAGTAGGCGCACGTTATGGTGCAATGCCACTGATATGATATAAACAAGACCCCCCCGTTGTAGGGTATGACGATACATCGACATGGGACAGATGGACAAAAAAAAGAAGTATAAAAAAGGGGGGGGGGAAATAGAATGAGGAAACACCAAAGGCAAGTCGAATCAGACCCATGTACAGTAGGGTACTGCGCTGTGTCACAGTGGTGGTGCATCACAGCACAAGCACAATGCCAAACGGACGAGGCAACAGCACGAAGGGTGAGCGAGTGATTTCCAACAGACAGGTGGATACTTGCAATTACCATATCCATATTATACTACCCTCCCCCCTCTCCCCGCCTCAACTCCATCCCCCATCCGCGCTAGCACTATGGTAGATATATATGAGATATTTAACCCAACGGCGGAGGGGAAAGGAATAAAAGAAAAAAGAAGAAAAAAGTGAAGCAAGTGACGGACAAGACAAAGTATCCTACTCCCCAACCCCGAAACCCTGCAGCAAAAAGCGTCCCATAAACGAAAAAGAAAAACACAAAAACGAACAAATGATGGCAATGAGACAATAAAAAAGCAACTGGACATGATGATGATGACTGGTTTTCCCACCCACTCACCCACCGACGTGAACACCCACCTCCATCTGCTCACCCGCTAACAGCCTACCCAATGTGAATGTACTCTCCGAATATCATCAACCCCACCAAATACGCTTTAGAAAAACCGGCTCCAGGCAAAAAGCAAAAACAAAAGGAAAATATGAAATCCCCGAGAGAGTGAAGAAAAACAAGAAAGTAAAAATTATTTTTCATGAACATCAACCCAGAACCTAGAGTATAAAAAGAAAAAAAAAGAAAAAAAAACAGACAAAAAAAAGGAAAGGTTCTTGTGCTTTTGAGTAATGAGGCCAAGGTTTCTCTCGATCTTCATTCAAATTTCGCTGAATGCCTATTCTTTCCTTTTTCCTTTTCCTTCTCTCTAGAATCTCCTCCCACTCCCACTGGGACCAGCCGGGGCACTACCGCTCCTGCTTCTCCCTCCAGTTGGCCAAGCAGGAAATTCAGACGACACCACATCCCTATACGCAGGCGTAGGACTTCGTCGTAAAAGCCGTTCTCTTTCCACACCCCTTTCCGACCTTCTTCTGCTTTCGTCACTGTCGTCGCCATCCTCACTACTGCTGCTTCCCATTGACGATTGGCTGGTATAATCGGGTGGGGGGCTGTTTTGTCGAACAAGGTTTCCTGCGGTATGAGCCGATGGGGAAACGTTGATATTGGCTAACGAGATATCCGTCGGGCTTCTCTCCGGCCCCGGCGACGTGGGACTGACGGCGGATGAGCCTGCTCTGCCGGAATTCGCAAGCCCGGTCTGCAAAGCACTTCCGCTACGCCCTCGCCCATGTTGATGCGGAGCCTGTGATTCGAAGTACCCACTAGGACTCTGTCCTCTCTGTCCGGTTTCCAATAAGATACTTCCTTGTTCGCTCCCGTAAGGCGGCGGGGGCGCCAGGCTTCCGGTGGTTGGTGCAAGCCCCCACTTCTTCACGTTTGCTTCAATGAACACAAAGCCTAATTGACCAAAATTTACATGGACAGTGCAAGGGCCATTTGCGCCGACAGTTGGAAACAAGTTGAGAGATTTCAACCCGTGAGCAACATCTTCAAGTTTCTTGCCATTCCGAGTGAAAAATATTGTTCCGGTTCTCGGACGGTAGCCAACACCAATAACATCGCCTTGGTGATACGAGGGAGCATATGATGTGCCGTGGAACGGCTGATTGTGTCGCCGCTGACCAGAAGAGGTGTACGCGATTGAGTGCTTATGCCAACCTATCACAGGATTAAAACCCACTTCCCCCTATACCCTGACCGTTTATCCGGTGATGGGGTGATAAAATATGAACTCACCTGGCAACCGGAACATAGGATAAGGTTTGGTCGACATGCCGATACTTAGCAAGGTATTCTCCGGCTTTTCGTAAAGTTTTGCTTCCCAGTAGTACACCTCATTCTGCTTTGGAACAGGGAGATTGCTTTGGACCGAGCAAACCGAGTCATAGAATTCAATCTCCGTCCGCGCTTCCACAAAGCAGTTTGCAATCTCGAGCTCGGCCTCAAATTCCCATGCCGAAACTCCTTTCTCTTGAATCGCCAAGAACTGCGACAGGGATATGTCGGTTGGAACAGAATCAGGAGGGTTTGCTTCGATAAATGCTGCACATCACCAGGCGAGAATCGTCAGTAAACTAGAGCCCGTTTACCGAAGGGAAAAAAATATCCCGATCGCGTTTACGCTGCCCGGAGATATCAGAAGCCTACCCTTCGCTCTCAAATACTCCTGTCTCGAAATCTCGTCCATCTGTTCCAAAGTTTCCGCCTCCTCCCTCGCCAGTGCCTGTTCATCATCATACTCCCCAGGCCTCCCTATCCTATCCAACCAGATCCTACCCCGTGATGTGTTTCGAAAAAGATAGATGATAACGATGATTATTCCCACCAAGGCTGCTGATCCGAAAGCCGAGAGCAGACCGATGAGCAGACCTTGGCCAGCGGCGGACGCAGTTTTGACGTCTGATAACGCGGGCATGTTGGAGAATCTATTAGAGACGTGTGGGTCGAAGGGGTTTTGACTTTGAGAATTGTGGTGGATACTATTTGGTGACGTTGATGGATAGAGGCTGGAGTAATCGACCGAGGGTGACTTTAGACGGGATCGCTGATTTGTTACGACACCCATCTCACTAGAATCGGAGGTCGAAATGAAAAGAAGTGATGAAAAACAAAAGCCAACGGTCACAACAGCTGGCAGTGGCAGATGCCCCCAATAAATTGCGGATGGGATGATCGGAGGGGTGTGAAAACCTAGGGAACAAGTTGGGTGGCGGTGGAGATGGGTTGCCCAAATCAGGTGAGGAAGGGCACGGGAGGAGAGAACAGAAGGGCAAAGACAGCGACGTGAGGGGATGAAATGGGTGATATCAGTTAAAAGCAGCAAGGACAGAAAAAGAAACACTCTAGGGCGGGGAGGGGCAAGCCAGCCACCAGCTGGTAAGCGGACAAGCGAACAAGCGAGCGAAAGCAGCGCGAGCAGGAATGAAGAGAATGCGGAGGAGAAGAAAGGATAGGGGTGGGCAATAAGTGCTGGACCAGCTCCAGGATGAGGAGTGAGAGGCAAAATGTCGGCAGGAGAGACACAACTGAAGCGAGGGGAGATGTGGTGACCGGGGGAGTTCGCAACGAAAGAGCGCCAAGCCCGTACCTCTTCATATAACGGTACCGGTATTTGCAATTACCCTATGGTATGATACAGTACTCGTACACTGAAGTCTTTTCATCTTTTGGATGTCCCGCATTTTTATTCCTTTTCTCCAGAACACCGGCATCCTCTCGGTTTCCGCCGATCGGTATGCTTGTAACTAAGTCATTCAGATATCATACCGGTGGTTCGTGCGATTGGTTAGGGCTTGTTACAGGACTTTGCTGCTCCAAAGCAGCGGGAGGATGAATGGAGTGGCGTAGTCCTGGCCGGCCGGAAGCGGGCAGGGAAATCCGGGCGAGGTGCCCGCCATTCGAGGCGCCTTCCTTTTCGCTGTGGTTCCGCGCACCTGAAATCGGCCCGGATTGGGAATCCAGTTTCCTTAGTATCATAGCCACAGAGGAGAACCACACCGATAAATTTACTTGTATCATGGCAGCAAGGAGCCGGTACTCTACTGGCATTCAGTACTTTCGAAATTTGCTCCCTCTCAACACCCAATGGTCTTAACATATTTTTCGGATTGTGGAATTGGAGAGAGGAGAGCCTATTAGACCATTCAGCTTCTGCCGGTGTTATCTGATAGTCTTCGAGAATTCCCCTCGGACGACATCCACCACTTGAGTGTTGTGTCTCGACACCAACATACCGGTATCCCCTAGGAATTCTCACCGTTACCCGGCATAGCATTCCTGTACGGTACGGTACTCGTACAGTACAGTACAAGTACCGGCACTCCCAGTCTCCATCATCTCAGGAGAGGATCCGCCGTCATCAACTGTAGCCGCCCCACGGGCAAAGCATAAAGATCCCCTATATAGATAAGGCTGTATAACTGGCAACTAGCACCCACCATATCCCGGGCACCCTGACTTGGGTCTGTAAATAGGTATTCTTAAGCTTTGGAAGCTCGGCCTAAAGAACCTCGCTTCTACGGAGCGCAATAACAAGGTTGTCAACAACTCCGCAGAGAAGCAGAAAATAGTGGGACAACGTCATGTACCGCTAACCGCGCTATTCGGAATAATCACCGAATGCCCAAAAATATTTAAGGTTCAAAATGTTGCTGTTTCAATTCCCTCTGAAACTTGCCTACTGTACGAGTACTCCTACATAGCCTTTCGAAAGTCCCCATCATGTCATCCCCTGTCTCTAACGGCAGGGATCATGATTTCCTCATGACATCGCCTCCTGGCTATCATTTTTGGTACGAGAACCAGAGGACCCCCAAATCGCGATTCCACTTGAGATGACTGGCGGAGCGGAAGTGATATCTATATCAACAAAACACGGAGCAGGGAAGCAATAGGACAACTCTATGTTGATGTCAATGTGTGAAATTCGCTATATCAGTGAACAACCTGCGTATCCCGTCCCGCTATTCTCTTCATACAAGTCAACCGTACCCAACCACTTAATCTCGAACTAGGCCCTCCCAGTGCGACTGAGAGCACTCAATGCGCCAGGGTTAGTTCACCCACCAGGTCCTCCTTCTACCGATTCTTTGCACAACCCCTCCTGAGCTTTAGCTGTGGGGAGCCCCGTCTCCTGAAATGTGCTTGTATCCCGGCACAAGCAGAGTACAGTACGAGTACTCGAGTACAAGACACTCACCCGGGCACACTCATGGAGAAGGTAATTTCCAAATCGCTGCTCGCCCCGCACTGTATCATGGAGCCTTGTGAATAAGGTCTGACCAACCCCGGTGCTGGTACACCGGAGTATCCGTGGGTTCGCTTGAGTCGCTTCCCTTCGGTCAGTTGGTTTCAACGGGCATCTCACTTGAAATTTTTTTGCAAAAACCATCTCCCGAGCACATCATTCGTCCAAACTTCTGCTGTTCCACGATTAATGTAAGTTTGGCCAATTCGGCAGTTACCGAATTTCTTGGTTGTCCGATACCGGTACCTTGTGTCGCTAGGGGACCTCGCCCAATCCCACGACGGGATACCTGGCGACCCCCTGAGACCTAGCAACAATTACTGGCGAGGACTACCGGGGCGAGAATAGAAGGAGGGGTATAGAGACCTACTCAGCTGTCCGGAGCCTCACACAAGTTCACTCCGTTCGCCCGCAGTTTGCCCCCCTCTCGTACACACAATGCGCGCCCCAGGACTATCCCGCTTTCAGATCCTTAAATACCCATACGATAGTCTACCGCATTCCTATAAGCAAACGGCGGGGGTAGACCAAATCTCAGCCACTCCGCCGATAACAAGCATCCTAACACAGTTTGGAAATGAAAAAAAAAAAATAACATGGTAGACGTGCTCGACGCCTTTCCTCCCGCTTTTTCCGCTCATTACCGGCAGGGCATGGATGGAAGGGATGGGAGCTTGAAATTCGGCCAAACCGTCAACTCAGTCCCTTGAGCATTAACATGCATAACTTTACCATTCTGGCTGATATTTTGAAACCACCCCGCCACTGCCGCTGGAGACAAAAAGGCACGCTTGCTGAAGCAAGAAATCACGATTATGTCACATATCCTCGGGAAATTAAAGATAACGCGGGGAATTGATCTACTACACTGGTACCGTACCTGGCAATCCGCGTCGCTGCTTCAGGTTGGTCCTCAGATATATTCGAGTGTGCGCGTCTGATCCCTGGCATTAAGACGACAAATACACCTCCATGCCGATGCCTCTCATGCATCCACTGTTATCCGTGCTGGAATATGATACCTGCAGGAGGCGGTCTCTACGAAGACACCTTTACGATACGTACTCGAGCACAGCCATCTTCTTGTCCCTCACCTTGCTGTGTTCTCCTGTTTGTTTTTTCACCAGACCGTGCTTTTTACCAGACGCCCGACTGCCTCGTGGTTACAGACCACCGGAAACGGGATGGGAGGTGGTTATGCCCCACCCACAACGAGCTTGCAGCACCTAGAAGGAAGCGGTGAGCCTATTACTACTACACTGTACTACATCCCCCCCGAACCAAAGGAAACTCTTCTATTTGCCTCGCTCGGGGGGAAGGTTTGCTCCGCGGAAGAATTTTTTTCCGGCTCTCTAAATTGTTGTGAGAAAAACCTAACAAACCGCGGGAGCACAACCGCGGGGGAGGCTCTAGTCAGCTTGTTGTTACAGTACTGGTACTGTGTCTGGCACGGATTGGACCTACTTGTACCCATACTACATTATCTAGGTTTGAGGGTGAAATCCCGGCTGGTAGGAATAAGGTACCGGTGCGGCATGGCACGCCTCGACCGGAATTGAGGGCTATTCAGGGGCCAGAGATGGGTCCACGGGATTCCACGCCACCCGCACAAAAAACCCACGGCAATGCAGTGAGACGGTCTGTCCGTGATGAAACGCCGCCCGGGTGTACGACGTCTACACCTAGATACCGGAGCGACGGTTCTCCCATCATACATTGAGGTGGTGAAAAAAGGGAATTCCGTGGGAGGGCGGCAGGGCGAGGAGGTTGGCCTCTATTCGGTAACCCAAAAGAAATCCGTGGTTTTGCTTTCACCTCTAATCTCCGGGGCTATTGAGTCGCCGAGTGACTATTTATGACCATGATTGTCGGGAGCGGGTTTCACCGGGAAAGACCGGAACCCGGTGAGTGCCTGTTATTAGTGTTCCACACCACATTCACTCAAGGTACCGTACGTACCGTATCGCACTTGTTTGAGACTTGCCAAGCAATACCGCACAATAATCTCAGGAACCGGGACCATCCGACACTGGCCTCATCATTCTATCTTACCGGTATTGGATAGACAATGATGATCGATCGTAGAGGAGATCGAGAAGATCCTTCCTGTACGAGTATCATGCATATAGTGCTCATACGAGTACAGTACGAGCACACCCATTGCCCCCGGCACCAACCCATCTGACGGCAAAAGGATCGATATCATGATAAAATCCCAGGTCTACCTGCATGTGAGGCCCCCCGAGGCCAGGGTCGGGTCATATTGTACCCAGCACTAGCACAGGCAGGGTCACGGTACGCACCCGAGTACCGTACAACATTCAAATACCGTTTTTCCATACCCGCCGCAGAAATGTTTATCATACCGGTAATCGTATTTCGAGAGTTGATCGGGAAAGGCTAGGGTATTACTAGGAAGGAGGTACTCGTACAAAGATTGACGCGTGGTACTCATATCTACTCGTGGAGTCTTCGGCGGAGGTGCGACGAAAACTGGCGGATGACGAATAGAGGTGCTTGGCAGACAAGGGGATGAATTCGTCAACATACCGGTATTACTGTACCGTAGTGCAACAAAAAAAATACATGATACCTGTTACTAATCACTGTTCCTCACCCCCCGATTTTGTCGCGCCCCCGCCGAAGACTGCGGGTGTCTGCCGCATCCCTTGAGAGGTTTGCGACAGTCAGATCCACCCTCAAACAGTTTGAGCATTGTGATTTGCTGAGAATATTTAGATTCACCAAACGTGCTGAGTCATTTGAGCGTGGGGGGGACCGAAATCCGACCGTGTCCGGCTAGCTATTGCCAAATCTAGTCTTACCATGCCGATCGACGAAATCGACTATTCCAGGCTGCCCAAGGGTTAACATTTTGCGCCGTTTTTCCATGCCCGCTGGAGGCTGTCTTTCTCGACTTGTAATGTAGGTAAGAAAATGCGGGGCAATCTGGGGTGTGGCCCACCTGAAGGAATGCTGTACCGGTATCTTACCTTAGGCTCCCGTAGCGAGGATATCATACCGTAAATCTTTTGAAGTCGGTTTAGGGAAATAATTCCTCCCACATCCACACACACTCTCCTTCGCCTCTCGCTGCGGTGATAGATGGGGTATGTATGTACGGTTATTTGCGCTTCTTGTACCGGTATTGATGGAGACAGATAGCTGCATACGAACTCACTCGATTTCGGTTTTCTCCATTGGAGCCCCCCGGACCTTGGCAAGGGGATCTGGGGTCTGCAGCATCTGAATGTCATACCATACCGGGAGTGACGTTTCATCGTTATCCCACCCAGAAGAGTTCATGGAATGACAAAACTAAAACCTGGAGTTGAAAAGGTCTTACTTTTCAGCCCTTAGACATACTGTGCCGCTGCCAACGACATTTCTAAAGTTCGTCCCAGGTTACTGTACTTGTACCATGTTCCGTGGAGTCAATACGGTGCCGTATCACACCATCCTCGATGGAATACTTGTACTATGCGGTACTCTGGTCGAACAACGGTCCGTCTATAAGGTTTTTGTTTTTCTCTTGCTCGAGAGCGAACTCTTTCGCTTCGCCTAGAGGGGAGCTTTTTTTGACCTTGTTCCTTGGGGTGCTAGTTGCGTGGTTGATTTTTTATATATATTATCCTACCTTATTAGCAAGCACCATGACTTTGTGAAATCCCGGTATTGAATAATATACAGGGCACTCTTCAGCACAGCATGGCTCATAATACGCTCTGCCCACTCAATCAAGACTACTGTACTAGTGGCTATATTGGGTTTTGATCCCGTCCTAGCGGTTAATTACTAGCCAATGTGGCAACTGTGGGCGACCACAGTCAGCCTCGCCTCTGCTCTGCCTAGCTGGCCTTTCTTCGTCATGGACGGTTGGCCTTCGTCTTCTGTGCTCCGGACCTGTCTGCGACCGGACGGGGCAACTGGAAGTGCTCGGAGATGGGGCATAGATAATACCGAGATTCTGCTCCATCGTGCACACTACGGTATCTCTGGACATATACGCCAAGAAAGAAAAACGTCGGCGTATGCTCTTTTCAGGTTCTGCCGGAGGGTTTGTATAGTTAGAAGTCAGAAAACTACCGGTAGGTAACTTGAAGCAAGGATAGGCAGAGACTATTGGCCCAAGCCCATGCAAAGAACCACTGGTTGGTCGACGAAGGTCGGGCCGTTGGCCTAACGTACCGTAGGAAGGATTGGTATTTGGTGTGCTTTGGTAGGGCTACCGTAGCTGTTCTCGATCGCTTACCTTTCTATTCCATTCAATTATCTCTGCACCGAGTTGGCTGAGCTTTCAGCTCGCACGATGAAAAGGTTTCCACAGCTAACCTATTATTCATCCTACGAGTACGGTAGCAGTATCCTTGCCGTCCCTCTGGAAACATACTGTGATGTGCACGTGTGATGTGCACGATGGAACAGAATCTCGCTATTTAAAGCCGGGAAGCATTATCGGTGCGTGATTAAATTGCCCTGCTCTCCTCTTGTGTACGAGTACAGGTGCAGCTAAGCAGGGAAATGCTCGAGTACCGGTATTGAACCAGAGGCCAAGAGTGGGCCAATTCGTGCCAATTGAGGCACTCGGGACAGGGAATCACGGTGGACTCGCGGAAAAGATCTGGGATGCGGTGCCGGCTTCGGCAAGGGATCAGTGTCTTCTGACAGCTGATCCCGGTTTTCCAAGATTTGCAGGGTGGGAGGAGAGGAGGAGGACAGGAGGAAGGAAGGAAGGTAATAACGATAGTATTGTAATGAAAAGCGGTCGCTGTGCTGGTAGGGGATGAGCGAAGAAATTGAAAGAAAAAATAAAAATAAACAGGAAATTGGGCCCGTTTGTGCAATTTTGAACTCTTCACCAACAGATTTTCATTGTCGAGGCTGAACAGGGGGCCAAAAAGGGAAGCAGAAGGCAGATATTGTGCAACAAATTTCCTGAGCTGTGCGGCATTCTCCAAAGAGATTCCGATTCCATGATATTCATCGACATGGTAATAATGTTCGTCTAGTTCAGCCCAGGGATGGACAACACACAGGGGAAGTCCTCCATCTCTTCTAACCTTTCTAACCTGCGATCCACGCGCTCCCGCACTTCAACTTTTTTATTTTCGATAGAGAAGGATCACCATCGCCCGTTCACCATCCATCTAGCGGTGGAAAGCAACACCTGCAGCTTTATTTCATCCCCGCCTTTTCTCGGTCATCACAATAAGCTGGAGCGTCTCGCTGGCCCGTCCAAACGCCCTGCCCCGGCTTACCTGCAAACTTGACATACTGATACAATACTACCGTTCGTTTTCTTTGCCCATACCTCATGTTTGTTGAGCCCCGCTTCGGCTATCGCACTTTGGTGTCGTACGTGCGCTTACCACCTTTCATTCCAGAGCCCCTGCACCGTTCGCATCGCGGAACGACAGCAGCATTCTAACGATAAACTCTTTCCGGACCTTGAGCCCGAATTATGGACGATCCCGGGCTTCACTCCAGACTTGCGGCTCTGGATTCAGAGTTGGAGGAGGGTGATATTACGGAAAAAGGCTATCAGAAGCGTCGCACTCTTTTATTCTCTCAATACAATGTAGGCCTGGACATGTCGGATGTGGGCCCCTCCAACCAGCAGGTCTATCATATTAGGAATGATCCGGCGCCACAATTCAATAGACGGGATTCCGGGAGAGGGGACTCTGCCCACTCGCCTAGGCCATTTTCTACAAATTTGGAGTCCGGGGCGATGACATCGGCGACGGTTACCCAGCACGGAGGTATAGGTATGAGTCGTGAAACTACGATGGTTGGGTCGACACAAGAGTACGGTGGAATTGACGCGGTTGGAGGCGGCGCCAGGACAAACTATGGTCCGGGCCAACTCCATGTGCGCAACGGTTCCATGAGCCAACAATCATTGAATCCCCGAGATTCGATAGCCACATCCATGCATGTTAGGAACCCTAGCGCTACTTCCGGCGCTGCGTCTATACCTTCGCCCGCCACTTACCAACAACCCCAGTGCGACTACAATCGCCAACATCCTCACATTTCAGGCCCTATAGAATATCCCGTGAACCCCGGATACGGGGGCCCATCATCCCCTGCGCGGGAATCCCGGGAGAACACGCTGGGAGGGTATTTTTCAGATTTCACCGCTGCGGGCTACGACCACAACAACATGATGCATCGGTATTCGGGGGAGCAGGGAATTCCCTTCTCACCATCTGTGGCTGTTCCTCCACCAATGCTCAGCTCAAATGATTTGCCACCTCCTGGTGCTGTGAACCATATGCTGCCGTTGGACCCTCGGGATGTGCCATTTGCAGTTTACGACCCTCATAATTCCGATACTCCTATGTCCAAGTTTGATAATCTTGCTTCAGTATTACGGCATCGAGCCGGGTCCGTTCCGAAACAGTCTGCATATATAGTTCTGGATTCCAGGGGCAAGGAAATGGCAGCCTGCTCCTGGGAAAAGCTCGCATCTCGTGCTGAGAAGGTTGCGCAAGTTATTCGAGACAAGTCGAATCTTTATCGTGGAGATAGGGTTGCGCTTGTGTACCGAGATGTAGAAGTTATTGAATTCGCTGTGGCATTGTTTGGATGCTTTATTGCCGGAGTAGTAGCGGTACCTATAAATAATCTCGAGGACTATCAAAGGCTCAATTACGTCTTAACAACTACTCAGTCGCATTTGGCTCTAACCACCGACAACAACCTGAAAGTATTTCAACGAGACCTTACAACACAGAAGCTTTCATGGCCTCGGGGGGTAGAGTGGTGGAAAACTAATGAATTCGGATCGTGGCGTCCAGGAAAGAATCAGGAAGTACCTGCGCTTTCTGTACCAGATTTGGCATATATAGATTTTGCTAGATCTCCCGAAGGAGAACTACGGGGTGTGGTCATGAGTCACCGGACGATTATGCACCAGATGGCCTGTTTAAGTGCTATTATATCCACGGTCCCCTATGATGATAGCAATGATACCTTTAATCCCGGATTACGGGATAGGTCGGGCCGCCCGGTGTCGGGGAGACCGACTGGTGACACTCTGGTCAGTTATTTGGATCCAAGGCAGGGGATAGGCATGATATTTGGGGCACTACTGGCTGTATATGGGGGACAAACGACCGTGTGGCTCTCACAGGCCACTGCAACGACGCCTGGTCTTTACGCAAATATTATCACAAGATACAAGGCAACATTGTGCTTGGCAGATTATCCGGCACTCAAACTAGTAGCTTATAATTATCAGAAGGAACCCCTGGTGACTAGGAACTTTCAGAAGAGGCTCACCGTGGATTTTTCCACTGTTAGGTTCATGTTGATCGATGCGTTGACCGTCGACCCGGCGTTCCACGAGATTCTTGCTGACCGCTGGCTCAGACCTTTGGGGAATACAAGGGCGAGGGATGCTGTGGCACCCATGCTGTGTCTTCCTGAACATGGTGGTATGGTGATCAGCATGAGGGACTGGCTCGGTGGTGAGGAACGGATGGGGTGTCCTTTGCACCAACCGGAGGAGCGCGAGGATAGTGAGCTAGAGGAGCCGGAGGATGTTACGAGCCCGAGGGTAGGGGTTGGAGTCAACGGGTACTCGTCATTGCTGAGTGGTGGTATAACAAAGAAGGTAGGCAAAAAGGTGACCGAGCTCACCGAGGTTCTGCTGGACAAGGAAGCTTTGAAGACCAATGATGTTGTGGTCTTAGCCATTGGGGAGGAGGCCCAAAAGAAAGCGGGAGATCCGGGTGTAGTGAGGGTCGGAGCGTTTGGATATCCTATACCGGACGCTACGCTTGCCGTCGTGGATCCTGAGACTTTGCTACTTTGTGCTCCGAATGTCATAGGAGAGATATGGGTTGATTCGCCGTCGCTATCCGGGGGTTTCTGGGCACTCACCAAGCAGACTGAGAACATATTCCATGCCCGACCTTACAGGTTCGAAGAGGGTAATCCACATCCGGTTGGCCTCGAGCTTGAGTTCCTGAGAACGGGCTTGTTGGGGTGTGTGATCGAGGGAAAGATATTCGTTTTGGGTCTCTACGAGGATCGATTGCGTCAGAAAGTAGAGTGGGTAGAGGAAGGAGCAGAAGGAAGGGAGGAATTTAGGTACTTCTTCGTTCAGCATTTGGTTGTTAGTATCATGAACAATATTCCAAAGATATACGATTGGTTCGTTTCCGCTTTCGCTTTCGGGGGAAACCTCCTTTTTCGCGCCATTTGTGGGCTGACCCTATTTCTCAAGCTCGGCATTTGATGTCTATGTCAATGAGGAACATCTGCCAATTATACTTCTGGAATCACAGGCCGCTTCGACTGCACCGACAAGCGCGGGGGGCGTTGCACGACAGCTCGATATTGCACTTCTTGACCAACTTTCAGAGAGATGTATGGACGTGCTCTTAGATGAACATCACCTTCGGGTTTACTGCGTTATGATTACAGCGCCAAACACGCTTCCTCGAGTTCTCAAGAATGGCCGAAAAGAAATTGGAAATATGCTTTGCCGTAATGAATTCCATTCTGGTACTCTGCCTTGCGTTCATGTGAAGTTTGGGGTTCATAGAGCGGTTCTCAATCTACCTATTGGCATAGACCCTGTTGGAGGCATATGGAGTCAACTTGCTACTCAGTCTCGACAGGAAATTTTGCTTATGCAAGAGAAACAATATTCTGGTGTGGATTATCGGGAGGTTGTTATCGATGATAGGACCTCAACGCCGCTGAACAACTTTTCCTCAATTGTGGATCTACTGCAATGGCGTGTTGCCCGACAGGCCGAAGAGCTTTCCTATTGCACTATTGATGCTAGGTGCAGAGAGGGTAAGAATGTTACTTGGAAGAAGCTGGACACCAAGATTGCTGCCATAGCTGCTCAAATCAAGAACAAGTGGAAGGTTAAGGCTGGCGATCACGTGGTCTTGATGTATACACATTCGGAGGATTTTGTGTTTGCTGTACATGCCTGCTTTTGTCTGGGAGTTGTCGCTGTTCCCCTGGCGCCCCTGGATCAGAATCGATTGAGTGAGGATATTCCGGCACTTCTTCACATGATTGCGGATTTTAGTGTCAAAGCGATTCTGGTAAATACGGAAGTCGATCATTTATTGAAGGGGAAACCACTATCGACGCATTTGAAGCAAAGCGCCGCAGTGTTGGACATCCATATGCCTCCGATTCACAACACGGCAAAACCTCCGAAGACTAATAGTGGTTGCAGGGAGTTGGGGTTAACTATGAAGGCGGATTGGGTTCAACCTGGATTTGTTGCACTGGTATGGACCTATTGGACCCCGGACCAAAGAAGGATCGCAGTTGGCCTTGGACATGATACCATCATGGGGATGTGCAAAGTCATGAAAGAGACTTGCCAAATGACTTCCAGTCGACCGGTGGTGGGGTGTGTCAGGAGTACTAGTGGCGTGGGGTTCGTGGTCTCCCTGTTAATGGGAGTATTTGTCGGTATGTTTTCTGCCGCCGGCTTGTTGCCCTTAATCAGAAGCATTATTCTAAGAGGATTTGTTTTTTGAAACAGGTGCTCCGACATACTTGGTATCTCCGGTGGATTTTGCACAGAACCCACTAAGCTTATTCTTGACATTATCGAGATATAAGATCAAGGATACGTATGCTACACCACAAATGTTAGACCATGCGATATCGACCATGCCTGCCAAAGGATTCACAATGCTTGAGTTAAAAAACATGATGATTACCTGCGAGGGGCGCCCAAGGCCTGATATTTGTAAGTGAAACCCCGGAGCATCGGTCGTGCATAACGGGAACTGACGTCCCACTAGTCCAGAGGGTCCGGCTGCATTTTGCTACGGCGGGGTTAGATAGGACGGCTATCAACACTATCTATAGCCACGTTCTGAATCCTATGATCGCTTCTCGCTCCTATACGAATACAGAGCCGATAGAATTGTGGCTTGACACGAAGGCACTCCGACGTGGTTTGGTGTACCCCGTTGATCTGGAAACCCACCAAAATGCTCTTCTTGTCCAGGATTCGGGCATGGTTCCTGTGTCAACTCAGGTGGCGGTTGTGAATCCAGAAACATGCATGCTTTGTAGGACGGGAGAGTACGGCGAGATCTGGGTGGAGTCGGAGGCTTGCGTCAAATCGTTCTATGGTTCGAAAGACACTTTTGACGCGGATCGCTTCAATGGCAAGACAATGGATGGAGATCTGCGGATAACCTATGTTAGGACCGGCGATCTCGGGTTTCTGCACACCGTTTCAAGGCCAATAGGCCCGGGAGGGGCCCAAGTGGAGATGCAGGTCTTGTTTGTGCTTGGTAGCATTGGTGAAACATTTGAAGTCAATGGGTTAAGTCACTTCCCTATGGATATTGAAGATTCTGTGGAACGGTGCCATCGAAACATTGTTTCCGGGGGAAGGTAAGGGTTCTCAACGATGCCCTATTGCTTCAAAGATGAAACGTGTCTGACACCTAGCAGTGCGGTATTCCAAGCTGGTGGATTGGTCGTAGTCTTGGTTGAAGTTCGGGTCAAGTCGTATCTGGCATCGATGGTACCAGTAATCGTCAATGCCATCCTGAATGAGCATCAACTTGTTGTTGATATCGTTGCCTTTGTGGGCAAAGGTGATTTCCCAAGATCTCGTCTGGGCGAGAAACAGCGAGGGAAGATCCTTGCTTCATGGGTTACGCGGAAAATGTATTTACCCCCCTTATATCCCCCCAACTGGCATAGCATTGCTGGGGCCTCGACTAAGCTTACTCTTCCGCACAGGCGAACAATAGCGCAATTCGGTATCCGTGACACCGACCGGAACGAGAACCACGAAACGGGCCAACCTCCAACGATTGTAGAAACAGCCCACTCGATGACTGGCGGCGGCGACGAGAAGTACGGCGTCGATTCACCCATTGAGCTTGCCGACAACCAACTCAACAACCGCTCCTTGGTCGAGCTCCCAGCCTTCTACGCGGGATCCCCGATAGGTGAAATACTCATGGAAGGCAGCGAAAGCACAAATTACCACCACTCGATAACAAGCTCTACTCCCATGATACCCACAATCTCGCCGCCACCGCCAAAGAGCCCCAAACGGCAGCCTATCCCTTACCAGCAGAATTTTTATATTGTCCACCCTTCCGTTGCTGATGGAGGAGGGGGCGTAGATTCGGTGGCGGCGCCGGAGACCCAATCCCCTGTCGGCCACCGAGAGGGAAAGTAGGCTTATGAGTGAAGATTATACATACCCTTCCGAAGCTCTCATGCGTATGAAATTAAACGACAGCGAGACGACCCCTTACTCGTCGAGCATTGGCAAGGCTATGTAAAGTTTTAGTAGGATATGCGAGCGGGGGCATGGGGTGGGGCGCTTGTGGGTGTGGGTCTGGTAGAACTGGCGGGGCATTTTCGGATGAATTATTGGAGTTTATTTTTTTCTTTTCTCCCCTTCTAAAAGCTGATTATTGTCCCCCCCCCTGTCTTTTTTTTTTTTTAATTTTTTTTTTGTTCCCATCCAAATTTTGTCGTGTGCTTTTTGTAGCCCCTTCTTACTTTCTCTTTTCTTTTCTTTTCTGTTTTTTCTTCCCTGCCGCCTGACTATGATCGGATAGGTGGGATAGTCCTGTTACTTGCCTGATACCTAATGTCTCCTTCTCCTTCCTCAATCCTTAACGACTTGTGTGACTTTATTTACATTTTTGATTTTCATCCTAAACTTGGAAGGCGTTGGCTTTTGGAAACGTTTCTTCCTCTTTTGTGTTGTTGGTACTGTAGTTATCGCACTGCGGCGGTTGGCGATATTCCGGCGGAACATACATAATGCTGTAAAGAAGCGGACCGAGTATGTACGAGTACGAGTACAGTGCACCAAACAGTCAGCTACCTGACCCACTCTCCACACGTGGGGCTTCGCTACGAGCACGGAAATATCATCATTGCCCACCTACGCTACACAATCATATATCACCAGAGCACGCCAATCCTTTAGTACGGTACCGTAGCAGAAGCCCCCACTCCAAATTCACGGTGAATATTTTATTTTTTCAATTTTATTTTTAGCCAATCGTACTCGTACTTATACCGTACTTGTATCACGTGCTGCGCCTCCCCAAGCCATACCGGTACTTGCCACTCTACATGTCCTCGAATATGATACTCGGGCACGGTAAATTACTGGTATTATTCTTGCCCGACAAACGCCAGGCCCGCTTAGTCACCATGCCTACCTTCCAGATCCGGCCTAGGATCACGGACAACACATAGTGACCTAGAATAACCTCGCGGTTCGGCGATGGATCAATCCATGCATCCTCATTCCTTCTCCCCAGCGCCGCCCCTTAGACTACGCACCGGCCCATCCGGGATCCATTCCCATCCTTCACACCTGACACCACTGCCGCCGGCACACCACAACCGACGTGTCGGTCTCCACCGGTACAGCCACAAGGTCTTGGCGGCGACCAGAGTACCAGTACAGGGGTACTTGCGCATTCCAAAAGTATCGATGGCTTGGCACCGCCTACGACTTCAAGCAGCATGTTTCGCACAAAAATGGCTTGTGCAACTGGAAATTGCTAAGGTTCCCGAGCACTTTCATGGCAGTTTTCTCTGTGCACTTTGTTAGGGGATAGGCTGGGTGTTCAGGGATTAAAAGGTACTTTTAAAGTACAAGCCTCTGGGTGAGCCGTAGTGAGTTAAAGTGCCTTGCACCAACAGATTTAGGGCTCCGGCTTAAGGCTTCTCACAACAACCAAAACTGTGCCAAGATATCCGGACACTTTTGGAATACGCAAGTACGGGTACGAGATATTGTCATGTGCCTTGCTCGAGTATGCGAGGTCTGGATTTTGATGTGCACCGCTATTTATAGTCAGTCCCTGGAGGGGGTCTGCTGTGAGGAGTTCGGGTGAATTTTTCCTGCTGCGACTTTGTGATACTTACCCGCACCGCTAAGATGACACCTCGTTAGCCCTCGGTACAGACCTCGCAGCTCTGCCAACCAGATTCGCGGAACACGTACTAGCACATGGAGAAAATAGAAACAGAGAAAACGACCTCAGGCGCAGGGCTATCTGGCCGTTCACTGGCCGTGGACTTTGAGGTCTTGTCTTGTCTTGTCTTGACGACTAAGCTCACGGCAACGGTGGACGGGAGGGAAGGCGATGGCAGACAACTTGAATTGGGCGCCCTTGTCCAGAGCGGAGTGGAGGATGTTATAGTATTTGGAATACATCCGTGGTGGACTTGACGGGTCCCTACATTGGGCCTCCTGTAGCTCTCCTTGCATAGAATACACTACTAATGGTGGATACGGCAGTGAGCGGCGAACTTGTCATGCAATCTGCTTACTTTTTTTCATTTTTCCTTTTACCGCGCTCCAGTATTTCGCAGTTGTGTCTGTGTGTGTGCTGGGGGGGGAGCTGACGGTTATATTCGGATATCATGGATTGGTGTGATGGTTTAGGTATAACTACAGCCTTTTAGTTTTCTACTGTAGGGGAAGTATGCAGGGTACCGTACAGTACAGTACCAGTGCCGGTAGTATTTAGACCATTTCGACCAGGTTTGGATTGCTCGTGTGCTGCGCGGTTGCTTGATGTAGTTTACCTAACGCGCTCGTACATTTGGTTACCATACCAAGAAGCGCTGCGGGACACAAGAGGCTTTTGCTGCCTCTATCTACTGCACCCTCCTTCCCCCCCCCACAGTTCTACATACAAGGAGCCCTACAATTCGCCACCGGACCGCCAGTGGGAACCCGCGTGACGGACTGCCATAGGTTTATTCCTCCTTGTATCGCTTGCTGGTGAGAGCTTGGTAATGTGCAATGACGGATGCGAGAACAGAAGGAATGTCATATCTTATTTGGTTTTCTTCTACTTTATAGTTTTCTTCTTACTTGTGGGTCGTGATTGATTTACAATTCTGATAGGTCCTATAACTTTGGTTTCTATATATACTCTATAGAATAGGAGTCTGGGCTTAACTTGATACTGTCCGTATACTTTTTTCTTGTTTCCACATTGCTAACAGTCACTTGATTGTCCTAGCTTAAGTCTGTCTTGTGTTTTATATATAATATTAAGGCCCTGTTTGGCACGCCAGAAAAATGCCATTTTTCTGACTTTTATGCCATTTTTCCATCATAAATTTTAAAAAAAAGGGAGGTGTGTTTGGCATGCATATTAAAATGGCATTTTTTTAAATTTAGTGTTGTTTTTTTTTATGGCATTTTTTTGTAAAACATATAGGGTATTAGGGTATAATAGAAAGATAAAATATAATAAAAAGAGCAATGATATGACTAATACAAGTATTATGAGAATGATAATAATTTAAATAAATTTTTGTATATGATTTTAGTAAATATTCTAATTGGTTCAAGAATGATTTATGAAGAGTACAATGTAATGATCCTGCAATAATAAGCTATGGCAACCTACATCTATGGCCATATATGAGACTCT